GAGGACTCACTACAGGAACTAATCAAGGTAGGGAGAATATAGGCTGTAATACTGGGCAGGAAGAGGACTCACTACAGGAACTAATCAAGGTAGGTGGAATATAGGCTATAATACTGGGATTGAATACGTCCATGATAATGAACTATTGTGTTAAAGAAAAACAGAAGAACCTCATGGGGTAGACCAAAAAGGTGATAATTGTGGTATTTGGTATTGTAAGTATTTAAAAAACTACTCCTCCAAAATAATTCTTCCAATTTCAACCAAATTTGCAAATGTTACATAATGAATGGTGTTGTCTCCTTTAGGACTGTGAGAAAGAGCCCAAAATGGGGAATATTTGCAATATTGCTGATAATTAAAATATCATTTTGCTATGAAACCTACAAAAACAGGTGAGCAATACATATATAGACCCTCTGGACCTCCTTTTTGCCTTCAGTGTACTTTGAAAAATGTATGTATAAGCCTAACTCTTTCTGTTTGTGTTTCTCTAGGCTACGATATTCGCCTCCCAGGGTCCAGAGGCCCACCATTCCATGGGAACTGTGTTTGATGAAGATGCATCCGTCTTTTTCCTTGAACTTCTTGTCAAAGTTGTGCTGCAAAACAGGTAAGTTTGGTTTTCGGAGCATTTCTGGTCAAAAAAATATGACCAACCATAAAGCACTATGATAACCTTGATGTGAAATAAAAGTTAAAGTTCAAATTTAATGTTTATTAATGGTGTTGATAAAAAACAACTCAGAAATCCCTTCCTTGATATTCTGGTGGTGGTGGGGGTATGGATACCTCATAATAGAAATTTTTCTTGAAGTGTGATAAATTTATTCTGACGCTTGTTGATTTTAACTGCAGAGATAGAGTTACACCAGTTTGGCAGGCAGTTCGAGACCATATCTACAACCTTACTGTGAATGCAGGTGATCACACGTTCCTAGTGGAGCGAGCGGTCGTGGGACTTCTCCGATTATCGATCAGACTTTTACGCCGCGAGGATATCGCATCACAAGTTTTAACTTCCCTACGTATACTCTTAATGATGAAACCTAGCGTTATTCACAATGTGGCACGGCAAGTTTCGTTTGCCCTGCACGAGTTGTTACGGACTAACGCTGCCAATATACGCACGGCCCAGGATTGGTTCACACTCTTTATGCTTCTAGAGGTGGTAGGGGCTGGGGCCAACCCTCCGCCCATACTACAGACACACACAGAACAGGAACTCCCAGATGCTCTCTCAGATGCTGGTAGGTATATGTAGGTTTTGTATGATGGCTTTTATTTTTGCACAAAAATTAGTAAAAATAATTTGATAAGATATGATGCTTCAAAAAATTAAATGCAATAATCATCATTCAAACCCTTTATATCAGATTATATGTTAATAGATCTGCTCTGATTGTAATTATGTACATACATAAAGATAGTATTAAGCTTCTGTACCAGTTAAAATTATTTTTAACTCTTCATGTACTGCCTGCAGGAATGCCTTCCCCTGAGGTTCATACCATCAGTCACTATTTTCTCCATGTAAATGCAAATACAAACCTCTCAGAAAATTAGTTCCCTCGTGAAAGATGATTACTAAAAACTATTAATTTCAACATTATTGTTGGAAAATTAAACCCGAGAAATGTTCCAAGAACAAAAATTAGAGAGTGTGACCCTGTAAAATTCTTGGATGAACCAGAATTTCAATTAATCAGTCGCACAACCACAAAATTTGTCTATTTCGAACAGACATTGATCGCGTTAGCTTTAAGATAAGTTTTGCTGAAGATACATAAGTAAGTTTATTGTGTAGGTGCCCAGAGTGATAGTGAGGTGCCCAGCGGGTCTAGTCTGAATGACGGCTACCAGGAGAGAGGCTACACCTCAGACAGTGAACTGTACGAATCTCAGACCAAGACCCATCGAAGTCCGTCCCCACTCGAGGTCAGGCCAGTCCCTGAGAATGGAAGCTGGCTCCTGGTCAGTATCGTCAACAATATTTGTAGAAGTTCCTGGTTACTTTAGGTTCTGCATACGTTGGAATCATTTTAGTCTTAAATTATGCTCTGGTTTCTGAAGCTGCTTGGGTTCTAAAGACCATTTCATGAAATGTTGATAAAAATCCAACAGAATGTTATTTGAAAGATTTGGCAATATGACCCATTTAGAAAACACCACAGATAATACATTCTCCTAATATCACGATTTCCATGATAGATACAGATCTAGACCAATTTACGAGGCAGTGCTTAATTCTGACTCGGACATAAAAAGGGGGGTTTGGGTGTATGATACTGGTCTAAGAGACGATCACAATGTTATTTGGGGTTTTGGTACTCTTTCATCTCTTACATTGTACTGTTTGCTTTGGCGAATTACATTAGTTCAGGGGTTGTTTCCAAGGTTGTGGTTTTAGTGATAAGTGTTGTTTTTGTGTTGAATTATCAAATTCAACATGGCAGTGATTTTCTGTTTAATATAAAAAAAAATCCGCCAGTTCATGCAATCTGAAACTTGTTGTCATTATTCAGAATGATATAATTATGCAACAATTGTAACGAAGAATTGAAACATTTCTCTACATTTCATTCTACATTTAAGTTATGATGTTAAGAGAAGTTCATGTTGAATCACATGACGTTGAACTTTATATATCTTATTAATACTGTATAGAGAGATAAACAGGGGTTTTAGGGAAACATGATGTAAAAAGAAACATGATATTAAAACCATGTTACATTAAGCAACTTGACAATAAGCATATTGTGACATTAAGAGCAATCTACTGTAAATAATTTAGATTTGTATACTTTTGATGTTTGTCAGCAATAATAAACAGCCAAACAATGGTTTCACTTTGTTGTTATATCCAAATAAAACAGGTGAACAAGGAGAGCCATAATCTAGGGAAGGACGAGGAAGCTATCCCTAGGGTACAGCCCATTCCTAACCAGTTTAGCATAGAGCTTCCTGATGACTTGTGTTACTGTGACAGCAAGTCTCTCATCAAGTCCTCGGAAACCCTCTCCTTCCTGGTACGCGATGCGGCCCACGTTACACCTCTCAACTTTGAGAGCTGCGTCCATGCCATTCGATCATTTGTAGAGGCCAGTCTCAATGGAGGTAAGATTTATTTTTATACCCCAATATTGAGAGGGCATTTATTTGGACTGTTGATCCATCTGTCCATATGACATTTTTGGAGATGCAATTTAACAGATTGAAAATGACATTCTGTCAGACTTTAATTACGGAAAACAAATAGAAATATATTGATTTCTGAATTTACTTGACAGGACGTCAGCGACCGGCAGCACCTGTCAAACACGTTAAACACAAGGTGTCTCATAAAATGTCCAAATCTAAAAAGGAACAGGAAAAGATGAAACGCTCTCACTCATCGCCAACACATCTACACAACATGGTCTCGTCCGATGACGAGGGGGAGGGAGACTCAACAGCCGCTGGCCTTCACTCACTGTCAATTCAGCTGTTGGATTTAATGCACACCCTCCACACTAGAGCCGCCTCCATTTACACCTCCTGGGCCAAAGAAGATCACACAGCAGAGGAGTGTGAGGCGTTTGATGCTGGACACAGTTCTCTCTGGATCAAGTGCTGGTGTCCTCTACTCCAAGGTAATGAGGAATCTCAATTGCAGGCAGAAATACCTACTATTAAAACCAATATAGGATATGACAAATTTTAATGTTAAAAATGGCAGATTTCTGAAAAACTTTTTTTTAACTTTTATACAGATGATGATGATTCTTAGTTGTAATTAGAATCTTAAATCTTCAAATTTTACAATGTTGGATTTACTAGGCAAAATAACATCTGACAAGTGTTAACAAATTTATCTTTAGTTTGCTGCAAGATGGGATACTCTAATATTTTTGACATACCAACTTTTTTGCCCCTAGCCTTTTAAAACAAATCCAACCAATGTTGAATTCACCCGCCATCCACTTAGAGCTGTTATAGTAAAAATGACCCCAGAATTCCAAGTAAATCACTTCTTCCCGTTGTTGAGTGTCCTGCCTATTCTGTGCATATTATTACGAATTAAGAATAGGTGTCAATCGCAACAAGCTCGGGATCAGTTGAATTTTCTTTATTAGGATACGTCTACCGGTTTTACCCAAACTCCCAAAACAATCATATTAATTGTCGCAGAAACCAATTAAATATAACCACATCATTTCATGTTCCTTTTCTCCTTGATTTCTTTCAGAGAAGGATAAACAAACATTGATATCACTGATAAAATAGTAACTTGGAAATGACTGGACCCAAAAATTAAATCACATAAAGCATTAGCTTTCTTTTCATTCATTTTTTTATGCCATTTGTCTTAAAGATCATCAAAATTAAATCAGATGATAAATTTCTTTCATGCAGGAATTGCCCGTTTGTGTTGTGATACGCGGCGCCAGGTCCGCAGTCAAGCTTTAACCTACCTACAGAGGGCGCTACTGGTCCACGATCTTCAAACGCTATCAGCAGCTGAATGGGAGGCATGTTTTAACAAGGTAATACAAAGATTGAAAATCAATATTCTAATCTGAAAGGTTCTTCAAATCTGGTTGGTCACTGATATTCAGACGATACACGCTTCACATGACCAGGTTTGATCACTTTCGTTCAATGCTTGCATATGTTCTGATACAGTATACCTTGTAGGATTAATCAGATTTAATTTAGGAGCTATATTTCCTCAAACAGTTAATGAAATAAATTATTTAAATGAATTTAACAAATACTCCAGTAAGCTTTTGTCTTGAAACAGTGGATAAATTGCAGATAGATACATTTGAGAGGAAATGTGAAGTTAAGAATATTTCATTATTGTGAATGTGGTGCTTTAGGCTATTCCTAATCATCTGATTAGCTGACTTTGGTAATGACCGTTTACCTATGTTTGATGGTTACAGGTGCTGTTTCCACTACTAACAAAGTTACTGGAGAACATTAACCAACAGGACCCGACCGGAATGGAGGAAACGCGCATGCGGGCCTCCACACTTCTGTGTAAGGTGGGTTGTCCTTTAGCACAGCATCCAGTGTTGCTTCTAGGGTGCGGGATCGCGGAATTCCCGCAAAAATATAAAGAACCCCGCATAAATCAAACCTCAGTGCGGGCCTAATGCCGCAACTCTTTGATAAATCCCCCCTTTCAGACAATCCTTTGCGTTCATTTATTTCTTTCGCGGTTCAATCGTTGTCAATAACAAAGTCGGCCATGTTGTGCAAGAGACCGAAACGTCTTTTGAAATGACAGTTTTCATTGGCTAATTTATTAAAGCTACGCCAATCAGAATGGGGCTCTTAAAATAAACATTCTCGCACATGCGGCAACCTCGTACTGGACCTACACGAGGTCTAAGGTGAATGTACAGCTTCTAAATGAATAGGAAAAGAACGCTGTTTGAGTTTAGTTTCACGGCAAACCGCCACCATTTAGACAGGGATGAGAGAGAGGTTACCGACAAATCTGAAACCGAAACAGGCGAACCAAACAGTGAAACTGGAGCAGACGATGTCGAGCCCTCCCCTGCCTTGTCACTTCGCTCCTCAGCTGCTGCCTTTGGCAGCAGCACCCCCTATTTCATACTGAAGGGGCCCAAGGCCCCCCATTGGACAAATCCTAGAATCAGCACTGGCATCAGGTGGAATACACAATCCTACCTCAGTCAACAAGTATCTGAGATATTTATATGGTGTCATTTTATAAACCATTATCATTATCTCATAGAGATTTCCTAAGGAAACATATGGTCGTCAACCTTGTTAGTCGACCGTGACTCAGGATATTTAATTTTAAAATCTTCAAAAAGACGGTCAATATCAGAATTTTTAAAAGATGAAAAGTTGCACTGCAAAATTTTTTGGATTAACTAATGAGAACAAGATAAACAATGATGACCAATTATCACAAGTTCATGGACTTTTTATCCCGCTTAATCCTCATGTTTCACACTTCAAGCTTTCTATATGAGAAAAATATAAATTGTGAATGATTTCTGTTTAAATCTGATTAAATCTGATGATGTGTTTAATTCATCCCTATTTAAATGGTGTTTTTCCTGATATCCATCAGTCTTTCTGTGGATCCATGGATCGTCATAATGGACAAGAATTGGACAAAGTAGAAAAGGAACTTTCGTTAACATTACCTGAATTAATGCTGTACACTGAACATTGATATAGTGCTATGTTTCTAAACATTTTCTTCAGGTTGGTAAGTATGGATTGTGGAAAGATTCATGTAGCACATCCAGTAAGTGTTTACAAGTGACGTTTCGATGACTAGTACGGTATCTGCTCTTGTTTAAGTGTTTACCCGACTCAGATGTGATATATTGTACCAGACCTATATTTACCATACAGGTACCCTTTTTAATTCCAGGTGTTTCTACAGCACCTGAGTCCACTGTTGTCCCTAAGTACCTTCACGGCACTGTGGCTGACCATACTGGACTTCATGGACAAGTATATGCATGCCGACAAAAGTGACCTACTGGTAAAGATTCAGTTTGAGTAAAAAATGGGAATATTAAAGGAAAATTTTATTCAAAACTTAAAATTCATTTTTCCTTCTCAATACTACTGACACATGGGTCAGATTCAATTTCAATACAGATATTCTTATATGAGATTCAGTCTTGCATATGTAAATGGCTTAAATTTGTGCATCCTATTCAATTTTACAGATTTGTTGGTCAGATTCTGACATATATATATTTATATTTATGGCTCATATTTAATCCTTGTTCACTGCTAAGAAAATTGAAAAAACAGGAGAATTTTTCACCAAGATATTCTAGCCATTCTGATATGATATTATTTTAAGTGATTCATGTCATCATTTTGAAAGATGTAAATCAGTGTTCTACAGACATCAAAAGTATTCAAAAGCTGACATATTTAAAACTCTAGTCCCTTAAAGTTCTCTGACACACGATACATGTTATAAAAAAAACTCTTTATCAATTTGTTTTATTACTGGACAGTAAATAGCACGTGTTTGCATTTCTACAGAACTGTAATATATATGGGTGGGCTTATTAACAGGCATGGGCTTATCACCGGATACATACAGTATTCTGGAGTGTTAAGGCAAATGAGGTATATTATATAAATAATTGGTCCTGTTTGCGCACAGCTGGAAGCGATACCGGAATCGCTGAAGAACATGTTGCTTGTGATGGACACGGCAGGGATCTTCCAGACGTTGGACGGGACTGAGTCTCAACTATGGAAGCTCACCTGGGATAGAATCGACACCTTCCTACCTCATCTACGTCAGGAATTGTTCAAGTCTCACCCATCTGGTTAGTCCAGGATTCAGTTGTTTTATTTACATGGTATTTTACAGGTGTTAAGGAAATAACTTTCAAATATGGTTTTATGATATTGCAAAATGTTCATTAACTGGGTTAGACACTAACCATTTTATTTGCTTTAAGGACCAATTTAAATAGATAATTCGCAACCTCGATTTTACTAGACCGAGATCTGGCGGCTGAAATCAACATTCCCAGCAGTAATAAAGCACTATATATTAAGCCAAAGGCAAACGAGGGACATCAAAACCTCTTATAGCAGTGTAAATATGATAAAGTCCTGCAAAATTTTGACAATCAGCACCCAGATTTCCAATATTATTAAGCAGTTGAACTTTTTTGAAAAAAATATTCTTATTGGTTAATTTACTTAGGACTAGTTAAGATAGGTAGTCTACTAGATGAAATCTATTAGTCTTGGGCTAAAGGTCCAGAGAATGTTAATGTTGAAACCAGTTTCTTTCATGTCTTTCTGCGTGTGTTTGTAACAGAAATTAAAAAGGTGATTAAGACCCAGCCAGTGAGTGATGTGTCGGCCCCCACTTCTACAGACGCCCCCTCTCCACCTCCAGGGACGACACACGAACCCCCAAGGCAGGAGGAAGTTCCCCTTGAGGGTATTACGGTTGTGAATAATGACGCAGGTACAGTTTTGTGATGACTTCAGGTGCCGGAAGTGTATTTCAAGATACTGTAGAGAAGTTCATTGCTAGAGCCGCTATAGAATAAACTATCTCCCCGCCGCACAAATTTAGTGTTGCTTACTGTGCTTTACAGCTGTAGAGCTATACACTTTCAGTCCTATTTATCTTTTACAGACTTGTAGACTGTATAATATAATTTTGAATTGAAATGTCTCCCAATCTCCAGATTTATTTTGACATATTTGCATGACCTTGAAATATAAGTTTAAATATTGCTTTGTATTTTAAAGTGTATTATATTTAGTTACATATGGTATAGAACTATACTTTTACAATCATCTAAATGTATATGCTGTGGAAGTTATATGCTATTTATAACTTGGAATTGTTGCTGTGCTGTTAAATTTGCAGTTTCTGTGTGTTCAGTGGAACCAGGAATATTAGGTGGTACAGCAAATGATATACATTGTATAAGACATTTGAATGAATCTTTGATTTTATAGTACTTCAGGCTGATAAATAACGGTACTTTGTCAAAGTTGTCCTGAAAAGTTAATCAGATTTCAAAATCTGTCTTGATTTCTTTGTCAAACAATGGTCAAAGACAAGTTGTTCTGTCAGCAAAGTAACTCATTCACCCCTGAAGCACATTTGAACTCTTCTAATTCAAAGGTTGGAATAGTTCATTATAAAATTTCAGGGGTGAATGATTGAAAACAAGAATACTGTTGGTTCCACTGTATACAAACTTTCTCATAACTGTACTAACATGGTGTAAAATTAATTACGACATAATAGGCTTGTCTTAAAAAAATGTCATACTCAATCTGGGGGAGAATTCAGGAGCTTCCTAAGTATCAGCGATTGATATTTGTTATTTATTAAGGATCATGGATTCAGTTGTTCACAATGTTCGTGGTTTTGTGTGTCGAGTCACCGTTTGTTGTCAGTTTGTGTACTCCGTGTGGAAATTCTCATGTTACTTTTTGAAGATGTCTCGCAGTGTTTGTTTATTGATTTGATTTTTTTATTGTTACATTGTGATATAAGTTTTAGTTAGCTCACCTGTTTGTTAGCTTTCATTTTCTTTCCCTGTCTATGTCAATAAACAAAATTGTTTTTTCAATCAGTTTGAGAAAGGGTATAAAGAAAAGTTAAGGAATATATTTTGCCACTATTTTTCAGGGGTAAGAAAGTAAATATCTTAGAAGTTTAGCTTATAATTGCTACAGTAATTAACTGGAACAGTCCACTGGTCTGTATATGTATGATTCTAAGCTTTTTGAACTTTGGTGCTCGGGAGGGGGGGCTGGCGGGCTGGCTATGATAAGATTTCAAATGAATTGACAGCTGAAGAAGGCTGTTTAGTTGAGATGTAGTGTTTTATTTTCCAAGAAATTATACATTATACAGGAACTGTTGTAAACTTTGCTATCTGAATATTGAAATCCTTACTAACAAATTTCTACTGTTGATTCACAGTAAAACATGTTTATAATAGTCACATGAAGAAAGTGTTTCCTGCAAATAAATTTTGAGCCTTTAAATTGTATAATCTCGTATATTGTAAACATGGAAATTTAGATACAGCAATGATTTCACTTGTTACATTGTTGTCCATGTTTTTATATAAACCGCTCCTCATCTCCAAATCACACCAATGTTAAAAAGTAACCACAGCAAGATCCTCCTCATCAACAGATATACAATACTACTGTATACTGGAAATCTTTCACCCAATCGTATATTGGCTATTACTGGTAAAATCTGTGGTCGCCAAATGATAATTTCGCCCTTCATGTGTTATTGCTATATATGATATGCTGTGTTCTATATTCGCTGTCATGCTTAGATTCGGCTTCATGAAATGACCTTAGCTGTTAATAGAACATGAAACAAAAGAAAACCAAACCAAACCAATTTCCCTCATTGCTGTGAGCAAAAGAAGGCAATAGTGACACTGTGGTGAAGATTTACCAGTAAACAGTATTTATTTCGATATTTCTCATGGCTTTGTTATAAACATGTTTTGCTTTGATCATATATCTTGTTCATTTTCTTCATAATACTTTGTTGTTGTCAGAGCTGTTTGCAATGTTTTCTCTAAACTTTGTTTGGTTTGTTCTTACACTAGGAGTTCCTTCCACGTGTATGGAGCGTCACCCCCCAGGCACTCTCACCTACCCTTACTACCAGCAAACACAACAACCCACCCCTCCCTATCTGCTCCACACACCCTCCCCCCTCAAAAACACGCCCCTCCTCCTCACCGAGACAGACGGGGGAAGTGCTGCCTTCTCAGGAGTACCGCTGTTACTAAACCCAGACATAATGCAGGGTACCTCAATACCTTATATTTCTCCACAAGTAAGTCATGTCTTATGTCCGTCATCTGCCATGTAATGATACCTGTCAATTGTCGAATCATTTCACGAACAGACAAATGTCACTTATCGATTCAATCTGACAACTGCCACAATTTGCATTTTTACACGATTTTCCAATAACAGTCTGCAGCAACACTACGACAAATGTATGGTGAAGCCTGGCTACAGTTTATTTCACTATCTTGCGGAAGAACTTTACGATGAATACCTTGGGATATTCAGCAGAATTTCACAAACTATACCTTATTTAACTTTACATGTCAATGTCCCAAAAATAATCCCAACCATGTGCTTCATCATCGAGGAGAAAATACAGATTTTTTCCCAATTGTAGATAGAGGATTACCTTCAGTTAGGCATATTATGATGTCTGTCTGTTTGTCCATTTTTCAGTATTTTTCCTCTGTTGACATCGCAATTTTTTTAATACCACATGTTCATTTAACTTCTTAAACTGATAATATTTGGTATTAAAGCAGCATTTTTTCCGGTAGTTCTGTCTTAAGGTCAAGGTCATTTAAGTTTGATTCTTCTATCTGATTGACTGATGGTTTTGGTGTTAATTTTAAGACCCGCTTTACGGTGGCAATAACTCACCTTGTATACAGAGGTATAACCTGTGTATTCAAAATTAACAGATTGACAAATTAACACATGGTGATGGTTTAATACATGTAAGATGTTCCTGTTCCAGTCCGGTTAGACACCTTGTGTTAAATGCTAATTATATCATACATTAAAAAAAAAATCACAGTCAATTGCTGAGTTTTCAACTTATCAGGTCTTAAACAAGCATGATAGCCGAGTTAAATGGCAGCTATATTCAACTGGCCACCAATTATATCTCTGCAGCTATTAAACCAGGATGCTGTCAAAAAGTAATATCGATTCTTTTTCATTTGCGAAATAAAATGACTTTTTACGATCATCACAAAAATCACTAAAGCCTTTTTTTAAACAAAGTTCCATTTCATGCAGCTCCTCTAGATCTATTTTGATGAAAAATGAAAAGATTTGAGAAATTCTTGTTTTTTAAAAAAAATAGCTGTGTATAGAGGGAGATAACTCTGATAAGAAGGGAGATAACTGTGATGAACCATTTGTAGACTGGTGAAGAAACAGGATTAAGGTTGGGCAATTGACTATTTAGTTATAATTAAGTTTGTTTGGATTTAAGTTGTGTTTTACCATCATAAAACTGATTCTATTAGTTTCTTTATATTCACTTCCTATCCATTCTGTCAACATCATTAGGCTCCCTTCACTAGCTTCTGTAGAAATTGTCTCCCTTTATCATACAATAGTTTACCATTAGGCTAGTTTCCTTGTTTCGCTTTCCATATGCAATCTATTATGCCATTCTTATCTAATTCAAAGCCTTCACTGTATTCATCTATGATATACTTAGAGTATAATCTCGCAGCTTTAAAATCCATGGGTTCCGCTATTACTGTACCTTGCATATCTTATTTGCACCCTTAGAATGTCATGAAAAATCATAGGGCCACAATTAGCCATTTGATTGGTTCGGACATAAAAATAACCTGACCAATCACTAGGCTGATCCCTGTCCCATGAAGATTACAGATGTCCTGCACCAAACTTAAAGCTGGTCAATTTTGCCATAATACTGTGGCTTGATTACTTTTATATTTTACCATAGATCAAAAATATAAAAGAATTCATAACAGCTCCTCGTCAATTGGTATCATTTGCAAGGTGTCAGGTCCAGAGCCTTAAATTTTGGCATCACATATAACAAGGGTGTAGAAAACGTGTCAATCGAGAACAGAACCCTTGCATTTGGAAGATGATAATTCGACAACACTGCATCGGGGGTTATGTTCTTGTTAGAACTTATTCTACCTAATCAGCCTGATGCCATTAAAGTTCCCAGTATGAGTAAACACACAATATATATGTCATTGAGTATTTAATAAAAGGCCACCAGAGCTTGACTAATGATGAAGAGTTGTCAGATTCTACCTCATAGTGTATCATAGAGAAACAGAGTGAAGAGTTTTGTTAAAATCAGTTTGTCTACCTGTCTATTTTCATCTTCAGTTAACTGGAAAACTTCCTTTCCATCATAAAATAAATTAATGCAAGTAGGCAATGACTTAATACAGTTGAGTTAATGCAAGAAGGTAATGACTTAATACAGTTGAGTTCATGCAAGTAGGTAATGACTGAATACAGTTGAGTTAATGCAAGTAGGGAATGACTTAATACAGTTGAGTTAATACAAGAAGGCAATGACTTAATACAGTTGAGTTAATGCACGGAGGTAATGACTTAATACAGTTGAGTTAATGCAGGTAGGTAATGACTTAATACAGTTGAGTTCATGCAAGTAGGTAATGACTGAATACAGTTGAGTTAATGCAAGTAGGCAATGACTCAATACAGTTGAGTTAATGCAAGTAGGGAATGACTTAATACAGTTGAGTTAATGAAAGTAGGTAATGACTTAATACAGTTGAGTTCATGCAAGTAGGTAATGACTGAATACAGTTGAGTTAATACAAGTAGGTAATGACTTAATAAAGTTGAGTTAATGCAAGTAGGTAATGCCTTAATACAGTTGAGTTAATGCAAGAAGGTAATGACTTAATACAGTTGAGTTCATGCAAGTAGGTAATGACTGAATACAGTTGAGTTAATACAAGTAGGTAATGACTTAATAAAGTTGAGTTAATGCAAGTAAGCAATGACTTAATACATCTGAGTTAATGCAAGTAGGTAATGACTCAATACAGTTGAGTTAATGCAAGTAGGCAATGACTTAATACAGTTGAGTTAATGAAAGTAGGTAATGACTTAATACAGTTGTGTTAATGCAAGTAGGTAATGACTTAATACATCTGAGTTAATGCAAGTAGGAAATGACTTAATACAGTTGAGTTAATGAAAGTAGGTAATGACTTAATACAGTTGAGTTAATACAAGTAGGTAATGACTTAATAAAGTTGAGTTAATGCAAGTAGGTAATCACTTAATACAGTTGAGTTAATGCAAGCAGGTAATGACTTAATACAGTTGAGTTCATGCAAGTAGGTAATGACTGAATACAGTTGAGTTAATACAAGTAGGTAATGACTTAATAAAGTTGAGTTAATGCAAGTAGGTAATGACTTAATACAGTTGAGTTAATGCAAGTAGCAAATTCAGTGATATTGTTAAGGAACCTGAATTTTTATCTTTCTACTTTTTGTACACACAATATGAGCACATAGAAAAACACCTAAAAATGCATTTTACCAAAACAATTATAATACTTAATGAGATCAGTTCTTGATCATCAGAATCTTAATGAAGCTTTTTGAACTGTTGTTGCTCAGACCAGGATAATACCTGGTATCCTTGTATCAATGTTCTTGTTGGTTCAAAAGTTACACTCATACACCATATATACATACAATATACGAAAAAACAGATAACAGTGAATTGTTTCAAAGTATTTGTTTTTAAATGTACTTTTTATTATTCTGTTTTTTTTATATTGTCAATGTGTGATCATTTTCTTTTTGATATTTTAGTACTTCTGTGTTTCAAGTTGCCTTAAGGATGTACTCTTCTGAGGTTTCAGTCACGTTCAAGTCTCGTTTTAATCTGGTGTAACGGGGTTTTGTAATATTTAACAAATTATGATAGGTTTAATAGCAAACACACATCTGAAAAACATGTCAAAAAACTAGATGTCTGTTGTGTGCAGAACATTTTTTACAGGAATTTGAAAAAAATGACCAATTTGGCGGCCATTTTGAAAAAGTGTATTTATGTGAATTTTTTGCGCTTCACAAAGGGCAAAAACTCACTTTTTTTTGACACTAGATTGATCACTTAAATTGTCATTGTGTCACCATTTTTAAATGTAGCAGGTTCAATTTTGCTGTACAACTTTATAATGTTCAATATAATTAAAATAATATGCCAAAAAGTGGAAAGTTATATATTATTAGTATTCTTTTTACATATTAGGGTAACTGAAGCACTTTTGATTTTTGACCCCGAAAAAGGTGAAAAATAACACAAATAATAATGGGACAAAAAAAGAAGCACACCGACCCCCCATTTTTGTGGCTGTTTTAGAAAGAGAAACACATTTTCTTTTGATTCATTGAATACTAAAAAAAGTTAAATACAGGATTTTTTTATATCAAGCGTTTAATCTGCAAAAAATGGTGAAAAAACGTGCATTTTTTCATTTAAAAATAAGGGGTAGGGGTAACTAAAATCGCATTTCTGAGTAAAATGAATACGATTAAGAAATTTTACTTCCATAATTTAAATGAAAATAATATATAATCAATTCTACAAACATTCATACATATCTGATAACACACTTGGAAGAAATTGTATGAATGTGTTCTGCAAATGGTCAAAACCCGAAAATTCACCTAAAATCACCTATTGTGTTAAATTGGTAATTTTGACCGATCATAGTACAAAAACTAACACACGGACATTTTTTTTTTTTGCATTTTATACTATGCTGTTATCTCCTTTTTCCAAAAATCAATATAAGAAAAAAAGTTTAATACAGGAATTTGTTGACTTCTCAGAGGTGTACATCCTTAATAACCATTCTGTTTCCTTCTTTCATTTTGTTAAAAAAAGTTTTGTTGAGTTGTTTATATTTGCATATTTTTCTTTTTCAAATTGAAGTTTTATCATTGCAGAAAACAACAGGATTGATGACAGAAAACCCGTGATAAATTCTCCGTCTCATGCTAAATCTACTGGAATCTATCCTGTCCACGACGTGTGATATGTCCAATGTGATACGGAATTCCATTGGATAGACCAGATGTAATAAGGCATGTCATTGGTCCACACCTAGAAGCAACATGCCAATGAGCAAATGCAACACAAAACACCATTGGACCAGAAAGATGTTACGCTGCTTTTCATTGGACCACAGAAATCTTCTGTCAGTGTTGATATGCAAAACACAACACCATTGGCTAAGCTAAATGTAGCACTTCCACATCGATTTCCATCAACCTGCAGAAATCTTTTCCCAGTAATTATGTCACTTAGGACACCATTGGCTCATCTGGATGTTACACTGCTTTCCATTGGTCAACAGAAACCTTTGCCAGTGACCATACTGATGGAACAATTAAATGGATAGTAGTTGGTGTAAGATTAGTCTATTCAGTATACAATTGTAGACTCCAGTATCATTTTAATTCAGCTTGCCACTGGTTAACAGATATTTTAATCTCATTCAAGTCAGATTTCCTATATGTAACAGAGTATGCCATTTGACAATTTACAAGACATTCCTCCAGTCAGATTGAATACAACACTCCATACATAATGTGATATGTAACACAGTCAGTGATTGGATATTATGGACCTTATGCGAGATGAAACAAAACTTTCTATTGGTTAACAATAGTACACCTTGGTAGTGATGCTTTTTGTGTAAGACAGGCTCAAAGATGAACACCTGTGTCATTCAATATGTAATGCAAGATATGATTGGAGTTGTGTGTCTGTTACAAGTGTTCTTATTGGTTTAACTGAGACATTTTATTTCTGTACTTTTTAAAATGTACTGCATTTTATTCCGAATAACAATTGTACTCGTGTATGGAATGCATGACAGTCTTTGATTGGTGAAATCAGATTGAAAGACAGGATTTATTTGGTCACTAGTGCAGTGTTGACAGAATGTAAAACAGTATTTGATTGGTTGCTTTTCAGAATGGAAAACAGTATTTGATTGGTTACTACTACACAGTATGTAAATCTGTTTTATTGGTTACTAAATAGCGAGATTCATCACTACATACAGAAAGTTGAACAGTATATTGACAATTGGTAATTGACACTATACAATATGTAATACGTTGTCTGGTTGGTCATCAAATACAGGATGTGACACATCATTTGATTGGTTAAGGCAGACTGAATAAAATGTAAGACTGTTTGATTGGTCATGGAATGGAATGCAAGGCTGCATTTGATTGGTAGACAAATTCAAAGTCATTTTGACGAGAATCTGATGATAAAGATGTATTAAAGTTTAAAGGAGTGAATTAAATTTTGTGATATTTTTTTTTTGTCTAACATAAACTTTGTCCAGAAATTATATTGCATTTTTCTCGGCAACGAATCTGCTGTTGACAAATATTTGTCATGTTTTTAATAGATCGCACATTAGCATGCTTTGTGATGTCGCATAATTTTGCGGTAAATATAAATGTGAAAGTACTTTTTTTCCTTTTACAAAGGAAGCTACTTCGTGAAATTTGTTAAAAAAAATATCTAATGTTTCATATAAATTGTCTTGTTCTTTTAGGTAAGGTCATCCTTTGAATTGTTTTTAGGGAAAACAGCTTTGATTTCAAGGTAAACCACCAACGTTAATATTATATCCTAGTGGTATGCTGTTTCCTGTTATAAGAACTCCTTGGGGAAAGACAAGCCAGTTTTGTGTTTTCGTAACCACATGATTTTTCATGCGGTTGCTGATGAAACATTACTAGCAATAATGGAACATAATTATTGAAATATTTCAGACATTGTCACAATATACACAGATTCCCTTTTCACCCTTACACTACAAGCTAATGTCAAACAAGGTTTAATGATGACAAATTAATACATTAGGTTGTTCATTTGATGAAAAAATGAATAGAAACCAGCAAATTTATATGATTGCAAGGTTTCTTGTTTGAGAGCTCGGCCACATTGCGACTGCCTAGTCATGATCAATTATTGTACATATGTTTCCCAAATGTATACTTTTATCAGCACTGCAACAATAGTGATGGTGCAGGCAAAGTGATCGTTTACATTAAATCCAATGCTTGGACTTTCAAGTGCCAATTTTCCCCTACTTTCTATTATCTATAAATATTGGTATAATTATACATAGGATAATGTAGCTGTATGTTCCAAGTTAAATTATAGATATTTTGGTTCATATTTCAACTTTATTCGGCTTAGCAGAATTTGAGGTTGTGAATGATATGTTTTACTGACTTTCCAAATTCTTACCTTATTTTATTGAGCTTCCTGAGATGTCATCCCAGAGAACTGCTGTAAATGTACAGCCCCTTTCCCATATCTGGTTCAACCAGTTTGTCTGTTTTTAAATGTAACATTTTTGGGTATAAATCCTGTTGGACCTGCAAATGGTTATGCAGGCCTTTGCAAGATTTTGTCAAGGATCACATGAAAGCAGTATCAGATTACTAGGTCTAGGTCCGACCTTATTTAATAAACAAACGATGCTGGTCCAACCAATTCAACCATTTGGTTTCGCGATAAACGAATGTGGCCTAGGTTTATACTGCAAATCAACATTTGAAAAGAAAAAAAACTTTCTTCTGACATTTGGAATAGATATTTAATAAAGGAAAGCCTATTTGGTAACCAAATTAAATTTGATGAGACTGTTACATTTATACTAGTCTATTCCTACAGTTTAATCATTCAGCAGAACCTCATTAGTTTGGACGCAGTGTTTTACAAAAATAAATCAAGTATTGGCTTTGGATTGATGAAACAGGAAATGTCGTAGAATTACAGCCAAGGAGGGGTTATGTCCCCTGGGAATTTTTTTCTTATGAATATGAAATTATTTTTTGACTAAAACTAATTATTATATAATCTTGTGTCTACAGGGGTTTGTAGTTAACCATGTTTTCTATTATACTCCAGATGACAGAGGCTACATTTTTGTAGGTACATGTTATCTTAGAATTATTAATTTAATTATAACGATGTCTAAATGTTTTGAAGATATCAAGCAGATTTATGTTGTCATATTCAGATTAGGGTCTGTCTGGCTTAGGAAGTTTCTTAAGTACTAGTGTTGCTTATACTAAACAGTATGGAAATGGAAACGTGTGGGAAAAATTATATGTTTTTAAACAAAATTCACCACTAGGAAGGGATGGTGTGTTATGTGTTTGTAATAGAAGGGGTTTAATGAAAAACACTATTAGACACGTCTGCTGTATAAAATAGAAGAAATAATTTGTAAATTATCTCAAAGAAGAGAAGTTGTACATTTGTACATTGTTAACATATATAAACACATGTGTATCGTAAACAGAGAGAACAGGTTTGTGTGACTAACAGAATTTGTGTGTCCGGTGTCGACTAAAGGGGAACTTTGATTTTGTATTTACATAATTGTTAGTTGTTGATGCTATACAGAAGTATTTTAAATAACTATCTTAATTAATAAAAGAACTGCTTGTATATAGGAAATAAAGTAAATTATTGTTGTTAACGAAAACATCTTAATTAATATCAGTTATCTCCCTTGTTGTGTCGTGCAATATTTGATTTTACCTAATCGTTTGGTATTGCAGAATTGTTATTTTTCCTTTAAAAATTTTGGAATATGATGTTCTGTCAAAACTTTCATATCTTGTTTAATCAATAATATTACATGTATCGCTCAGTTAGAAACCATTGTATGTAGTATAAAAGTAGTAACTTCCTGTGTGTAAAAAAGAATATCCACTTTGAAAACTAGAAATAGGTTAAGAACGCCTTCTTTTGCCCCATTGCCCAACATAAATAACAGTGCCATTAATGTTTATAAGTGGAAACAAACCGTTTAAATACAATTTCATAATACTCAGTTTAAATAGAAAAACAGCATGCATCAGAAAAAAACACATCCAGATGAAGGAATATATCTGACATGTTTGTGTTGTGTCACTTAATGAAATTTACCTGATTTTGTCAATTACAAATTTTATTCTATAAATAAAGTGTTTGCAGGACGGTGATTTCACAGTCAGGAGACATGAAAGAATCTATGCTAAGATTTTCATGTAATTTTACCTGGAAATCTGATGGATTTACGTTCAATATTTTTTAATTGAAATAATTATAATCACACTCTAGGCCTACTTATTTAAGATTTTTTTCTTTCCAGTGGTTCAATGTTTATTCAGTCTTTGTTTTGGACTAGAAAAAGACTTTATACCTCTCAACCGTTTTTCACAGGTTCTACTTTTGTGGAAAATAGTTGATGTAGACGATGAAAACGGTAAAAAAATAGATCCATACATAGACTTACCGGTATACATATGACCATTACAGCTTACATTCCAGTTTGAAAGTAATACAGCTTTTTTGGGTGTATTAATTCTTTTAATATTGGATTTAAAGTGTTAACCTTAAAAAAATGTCTCGGTTGTTGATATATCTCAGATGATGAGTTAGTAGCATTTATATGCTGAATCCTCGACTCTCTGACTGTTTAGCATCACTGGCGATCTATCATGCAATCCTGCAGCCACTGGTGATCTATCTACCCAGTCTAGACAGAAATTTTAACAAGTCAATGGCTGTCCATATAGTCTAGTGTGAAAAACAATTCACAGGCTATCCACCGGGTCCAGATCAGCCTATTAAAAAAGACAATTTTCCAAAGTTTCTGTCTTCAGCAAAATTTAAGAGTTTTTGAAATAATGTAATTGAAATTTAAGTTATTTTTTTATGGTGCAGGAACACTTTATACGAACACATGATACTGTAGCTATGGTAACGTTATGGTTCATTAGATATTGAAAAAAAACCAGCTCATACATCAGTATTGTTTTATCAATGTTAATTTCAGTTACTTTACACTGAAGTGATAGGTATAAAATTTGAGGTACTAATACTGTAATATATTCAATCTATTATAGGTAAGAAAGATAAATTAACATTATGTAGTTAGAACTTTGTTTTGCTCAAGGGTGTTCATTCTGATTAAAGTAACTTGTTGTAATATCTTACGAGGTGAACAAGGGGAGAGTATTAACCCTGTTTATCACAACCAGATTATCAGGAAGTGACACCATTGTTCACAAAAAATGGTGTGAAGAGCATTAATTACATGGCAAAAGTTACAATGTCACCTGTTTAAACCGAAACCTGTATCATTTGGAAACCTGTTTAACCAGACTTGGTGACACAATAACTTTTCTTTGTAAAAAGAGGTATGACAACCTTTCTATTCTGATTTTTTTTTTATTACTGTTCAGGCAAGACAGGTTTATCTCTTCATTTTAGACAGGTTTTGTTGTTCAGTGTGGACAGGTTCAGTGTTCTGTTTATGCAGGTTTCACTGTTCTGTTTAGGAAGGTTTTACTTAGGGTGGTATGACCCATTTCTATATTTGTGAAAATTTTACTTTCAATTGTTTTTGACTTGTTTAACCTTTGACCTCCAAGTTCACCTTTGACCTTTGTTGGGTGAAACTGGCCATCCATGGTTCAGAGGTCAAGCTGATCTGACCTAAATAGTGTCGTGTTTTTTTTCTATTTATTATTGTTAATGTTTTGTGTGTACCTGTGATTATGGCTATGTGATATATATGTATATCAAATATTGCACTATACCTGATGTCGAGACATTGAAATAAATTTCAAAGTCAAACTAGCACAAGTGTTTGTCTGGATTTTTCATTGAATAATTAATTAATAATTCAAAACTGACAATGCAAGTTAAAAAGCTTTCAAATGAGATTTTTGAAATGTTGAAATTTCAGAATGATCTTATAATTAAGAGACAACAATCTCTCAAGTCATTGCGTGTATCTAAGGAAGTAACTTCTTCTCAATAACCAAGAGGCAAAGAGTGTTCACCAGATGTTCACGCTGGGATGAAGGGATTTCAAGGTAGTCTGAAAATCTAAGAGGCCTAGGGTGATGGTATTTGGCCAGAAGCAAACAGCATGCTGGTATAAAAAGACTATCACTAATGAGTATAGTGGATCCACCTTTCAGGTCACGGAAGTAAAACTGTTGAAAATGTTCATTTCAATCATCTTCTGATGAAAAACAACGTAATATAATAATAAGAGCGTAGCTACGGGGTCGTAGATTGTGATTTTTGTGATACTGGTGTTTCTTAACTTAAGTAACAATATAGGCTATATATCATATAAACCAGCAAAAATCCCCCCCTCAATAACCTATCCTTCTCAGCGTCATTGAATTTCAATGAAAACTGTTCATGTACTTGCTCACATGACCCCCTCATAGACGGACAGTTGGGCGAGTCCCAATATTTTCATTCCGTACTGGCAAAACCTGTTAATCATGTTGTTAAATTGATACTTATCTATAGGTTTACTGTCTTATGTATATGAGTTTTGATGTTGATCGCTTATGTAGCGGAATTAGACTGGGTCAATCGTCAGTGACCAGGCAGCTCAATTGGTAGAGCATCCATTTAGATTTTGGAGGGTCCCAGTTGAACTCCTGTCTGACCCTGCATTTTTCCATTTCCTGTTACATAGGTGTCTGTGACCAACCTTTGGTTCAGGCATTGGGTGTAAGCTTGGCAAGGGGATATCTGAACTTGGGTTGTGAACTGGACTGGGTTGATCGTCGGAGACCAGGTAGCTCATTTGGTAGAGCGTCCGCCTAGAATTCAGAGGGTCTCGTGTTCGAACCCCAATCTGGCCGTGCATTTTGATAATAAAATTAAAGGGATATAATTTCACCAAAATGGATTAATTGAGGTGAATACTTAGCTATAGACAGAAATGTTGTTTGAATGCAGTTCACAGTAAAACTTGTGAGCAAAATTGTTGAATCAGTTTTTAAGTCTGCTCTCAATCTCCAGAAAAAAAGTTTTCATGTCACTGTCAGTCAAAAACTATTTCATCATAACAAATCATGATTGATTAGTTCTATGGCTTGATGTGTATGACTATCCATTTATTTATTGATTAATTTGAACAACACTACAGTAGCCCCTTTTGAGCCTACCTGGGGAGGGGGGCGGTTGGTCTGAACCTTCTTGGGCACATAATTTGATTCTCTAACCTTGTATCTGTATACCTGCATGAAGATACAAATTAGCCTGCAGCAGTATTTGAGATGTATTCTTATTTGGAACATCATGGGTGTAGCCACCCCGAACTGTTTGGTAGGGAGGAAATTTAAACTGCCCATTCTTGACTCCTTTGAAAGTACATGTATCTTTCCCAATATCAATATCTGATTATACACTGCCGCTGTAGTATAAGCTAGTTGACAAGGATGAGCCCGTCCTATTGTTACAATCGATATATTTCCATTTAATCAGAGGCTATATATTTGTCTATAAGATTATTGCCGCACAGCAGCAGTGTAATACTACAAAAATATCCCACCACTGGCACCAGAAATAAAATCACAAACACAGTGGTACAATACGTAACTACAATTTATTCACAATACTCCCATTACGTCAACACATCATCGAGGTTTGAAAAAAGAATAAGCCTGCTGTTATCCACTGTATGTGTCGTCAGAGGCGACTAATTTGAGAACCCCTTGAAGAATTAAGGATTTGCTTTTGTGCCTTCTACTTGGGACACAAAACCACCCAAAATAGATCTGCTGCACCCATTGAAATATATGGGATTTTTTTTATATCTCTCTACTTCTAACTACTTTTTTTTTATTTCCTATCGCCTTGCTTGGCGAAGGCAATGCGTTCTCTCCCCAGGCTGGAACATACCAAAGTCCTTGAAAATGATTGTTGCTATTCCCTGCTTAACATTCAGCATTTGGGGAAATAGCAACAACTGGTTCACCTGTTAACAGTATAATGTGACCGGGCGGGATGCTGTGCTAGGTGTCTTCGGCGAAGTATTTCAGTGAGATAGCACTGTAAAGTCGGCATCAGATCGGCGCTATCGCAAGGAGGCAAAAACACCAACCTCGGGCATACATACACACATGCACGCATATACAGCACACATGGAGGTACGTCCTTAAATGACCTTAGCTGTTGAATGTTAGGACGTAAAACTGCACAACCAACCAACATCAACACAAATGTAATTTTCGGAGTTAGATGGAACAGAATGAACCGAAAATTGTTTTCCTTTCAGTGTCATACCTTATGACAGAGAGCGTTGAAGTCGGGTATCGCACGTGCTGGGTGTGCAGTATTTGACTGTCGGGTAATCCAGCGATAGTCGCACCGACAGTACACATGTGTTTTGGTGGGTTTTTATCCAGAAATATAGGCCTTTTTTGAAATTTAGAAAATCGTAATGAATTGATTGAATGGTTTGACGTGAATTCATGATGTAGGTACGGACATGTGAGAAATTTGAGTTTGATTTGTAAATACTGACGGCGATTATATGCTCCATACATTAGATAAATAATTGAATTAATTGCTATTTTGGTGTCGTTTTGGTTTCTGTCAGAGGGTGTGGTATTGGAGGGAAGTTCATTTATCTCACCACTGACAACCATCTCTCCATTCCATCTTTCTGAATATTATTATTTATTTCGATAAAGTAAACATATTTCACTATAAAGTCATCTGCTCGAACTACCATTACTTCAAATGCCTATCCTCCAAATTTAAATCTCTTCCTTAGTTTGAGCTCAAAAATGCTAAAACGAGGGCAAAATGTAAACCATGTAAAGATACATGTATACACGGACACCCTTGAAACTGTACAAGAAAAATACATGATGCTCTGGAAGGGTAATCGTCTTCTGTATTTTCAATGACACCGCCATGTAAATCACGGTCTAATCCGAAGATGATGTCCTCAAAGCGAGTCACCGAATAGTGCCAACGAAACAATATGCCGGGCATACAAATGAGCATGAACAATCAAATATCGATATTGAAATAGATAATGATGATGACAATATAACCTAACCCTAGTCTTGATCAACCTGAATCTCACGAAACCCAGTGTTGTACGTTTTACCTTTTGCAGTCGACAATTGCCAAGGAAATCATGTGATTCGGAGCAAACAATGGAATACTGAACCAACTGTGACATTTGAACAGCGTAGTTTTCCGAAGCAGGGATGCTATCATCAAAAAAGAGAAAGTTCGCGATCGGAAAATCGAAATCTTCATGCTTACTGGACAGCTGTTGATCATGATCGATGTAAGTAAATAATGGGTAGGGCGATGTTTTGTGTCCCTGACTTTACAAGTTCAGGAGCTAGGTTATTTACGAGCAACGTGGTTAATTTGTTATATAAAGACAGCACGTCGTCGACATGACTGAAAGTGAATTGGTGGAATTTGCAAGATTTTAGTACTTGTCTTGATCAACTTTTCAATAAATTCAGCCTTATGTCAAAACTTGCACAATGACAAATCGATCAGAAGAGGGGAACAGTTTGTTTAGAGTCTGCTGGAAAAGCAAAGATATTGCCATCAAGTGCTCAATCAATATCTCGATTTCATCCACAGTTAATTTGAATTTCGTCTTTCTAGCATTCCTAGCTGGTTTTTAGTAGTACATGCATGTACAATCCGCAATTAGCAATAACTACGGCTATTACATTTAATATGCATACATTCGTTATATGTGCTTGTTCTTTACGTCCTAATAGCAGCTACAATCATTTCAGGAAGAACCAGGTTTTGATGGTGAAGGAAAGCCAGAAAACCCGGAGAAAAATCACCGACTTGCAACCATGGCAGTACCTAGCGACTGCCCAACGTATGCCTCGAACCTGCGACCCAGTGGTGGAGGGCTAGTGATAGAAGACGGCCAGATGCCATAACCGCTCAGCCACCTTGACTTGTGTTTAGCTACATTCACCTACTGCTAGAAGTCCAGCGTTCATCAAACATAATATGTGTAAACAAGTAGCTGTGATTAATATTTTTCGCTTTACTGACTTTGTTTTTAGACTTTGGAATAAACTCTAATTCAATCAAAGTGGGAGCGGTTGGTTATACATATTTCTACGTGATACTACTTTTTTCAGAACATACTGTGATTTTTTGACATGAAAGATATTGTTCTTGAATGTTGAAGAATATATTTATAACCAGAAATTACAAGATAATGAAGATCGTATTCAAGAGCAACAGATGCGTAAAATAAAAAAAATAAAAAAACATACTCAAATCAGTTTGATGTATGACGCCTCCTATTACTGCAATGCTGTTTTAATCAAACTGTTAAACATATTCTGCGCTGATCACTTTACCAAAAGATTGTGTACATATTATATGTTTAAAGATTCAACATCTGAAGTATATTCAAGATTATCAGGATCATGTCAAAATGTTTAACCTGTTTTGAAGTCACTTCCTTAGGTTTGCATTCATAATCGATCATTCACGTTTGGACACTCAATCACTATAATACTTGAGAAGTTCAAATCCAGCTTTCCCATTCCTAGCAGGTGTGACCACAACACATCATCCTTCTTTATACCTACTGGTCCCTGTCCTCCTTCGTTTTTATGTACCACCCTGCTCCACTTGTCAGTTCTATTTTTTTCCTTGTGCTATCAGCTTTAACAATATTACCCTTACTATCAAATACAATATTGAGTGGATCAAATTTGCCTGGCGTGCCCCCCGCCGGTATCCCCTCTCCACGGTAGTGTAACAGAGGCTGAAAAGTGAAGTTGTACACAATGTCATTGCCGTCTCCACTGAACAGATTGACGCTCCCTATAGCTACGTTACCTGTAATACCACAGTATGTGACGGATGGAACACTCCAAACCCCTGACCCCTCCACAGCAGTTGTGTGTAACACCCGACCGTCTGATGTGTACATCACTATCCGAGGGTTTGTTATATCCTCTTCAACCACCACTACCCGACAAACCCTGGTGGCGCGCAAACTGTCCGGGCGGCCCTCTGTAACGAACCTCTACTGGTGTAGATGATGTCAATACTTCATCAATAGTCCTCCCATCATTACAGCAGAACCACAGGCGACCTGTGATTGAGTCCAGACTGATGTTTTGAATACAACAGTTGTGTGGTATTCTTTGTATGTCTTGGCCTTTGTTGGTGATAAGTTTTACTGTGCTGGTGGTACAATCAGATAGCCATGCATGTCCATCAAGTGTAGGACATATTGATGTGATGTCATCTGGGTATGAGAACTGGGATAAGACAGTTGGACTTTACACGCCTGCCCAAGTGAAGGATTGACCCGTCTCTTAAGTCACGAATGTGACTTCGTCTGTTGTTACCTGGAGTAAACTCTGTCATGTCTTTGGTAGGTGCCTCTGGGATATCGAAATCAATGGCCTGGATTTCTGATACAAAAGTATAGCAGTGCCTGTCTGGAGGGTCTTTTTACATTCAGATGAGAGTTTCACTAAAGTGTCTATCCTGTCCTCCATGTTTGCTATGTGAGTCTGAAGAAGATCATCGGCTGCCCCAACCATCTTGCCACATATTGCTAAGTAATGCTCTGTTATTTTGTCCAAATCCAGCTTGCATTTATTTCTCTGTTTTTTAATGTCATCCGAAAAGTTATTGTATTTACGCTGATAAGCTAAAAAGTTCCTTCTTTGCTGATGATATTTCTTTGTTAAGCTTTGGAGTTTTGTTCTTGTCTGTGTCAGGTACAAAGTCCTGAAGCATATGTTTACGATGATTTTTAGTTTTGGATATTTCCAGAAAACTGTTTACGTGTGTTTTATCAGAGTTTGAACAAAATGGTACATATAAGTATGTTGCAGTCCTGACAAAGGAAAACCACGTCAATTTTCTTGTGACTTGGACACCGGGAACTCCCTTACTCCTAACAGGATATTGTGCACGTTTTAAAAATAGAAAATCCATATTTAGTTGCCATGGCGCCAGCCGTGTAGGAAATTATTTTAAAGGGGAGGAAACTGTTAATGTGAAGATCTTCTCTTGAATATCTGTATAACAAGAAAGTGAAATTAGAATTAATTCTAGACACCTTAGCGTTTTCATAACGGATAATTTTAAAGGTTCACTAAAATAGCTATAGCGGCCTTAGTGGATTTGTTGTTTACTCAAGTTTAATTACAGCTATTTACATGTTTATAAATATCACGGAATTGATATTGTCAACTGTTATGTAACGGACCAATTAAGGAAAAATGCTGTAGTGTCTTACTGATAGAGAAATTAAATATTGGCGAGGAAAGTATTCCCATTATAGTTTTGAAATGACCAATGAATTATATGGACAGAATTGTCCGATATTGTAATGCATTACCAGAATTGTCATGACCAGATTTCATTAATATAACTGAGCAATAGCTAGGGTAAGTAATGTGATCAGGTGGGTATTGTATCTGACCAATAGAGAAATTAATGAAAGACACATGATTTTGTAACTGACCAATGTTGAAATAATGGAACTGAAAAAATGGGTTCGTAGCTAACGAATGGAATGTACTAGATCGTTTTGAAGGAATGTAGAAAATGGAGAGGAAAATTGGTCTTTTTTGTACTAATAAAATAGGAAGAGGAATATAGCCGAAAATGGTAGTGTAGACCGGCAGATTTGGGGAAAGAATCTGGCCTGTTGTACTCCACTGCATAATCATAAGAGCCAACCAATATGAGCAGAATCGTATGTTGTTTTTCACTTGTCTTCTGTTTAGAGGACATTGGTGAAACCAATAGTGTATCAGAGAAGGCGACTAATATACCCCACCTACAGCATTTGGGTTTTCTTCCTTGTCTTCTACGAAGAGGACATTGAAGAGACTAACATGTATCTGCTGCCCCCTTTGCAACACTTGGGATATTTCGTTTTTTAAATGTCCTGACTATTTTCTTTCTTTTCTATCTACTTTCTGTTTCAGGCGGTGTCGCACTAGGCGTTCGTCCTCATAGGACCCTGGCTTCTAGCTAGAACGTTAAACACCAAACAAACAACTGAACAGAAAATGGTGATGCAACTGAATAAAACTGAACAAATGGTATATACACCTGAAATTCTAGTTGTTTTAACTGATAAAGGAGAATGATGATCAGCTCTGGTCATCTATAGTAATGCCCAGATTATTCGAAAGATCGTAATTTAAAGAGCTTTATTGGAAGCAGCAATGGTAGGAATGTCTTGCAAAGATATCGTGTTCTTATTTAACCTAGTGAAACGACACTATATTTTCATCTAGGATATTTACAAATTTTACAGACATACTGATCGTAAGTGTTTTCTGTACGAAGACTTTCAATTCTGTGCACATCCTATACTTGTCAATCAAGACGGTATATCGACACAGAAGCTGAACCATGAAGGAGAATTTATATGTTGGATCCGATTTGTATTTCCTCACCCAGGTAAGGTATGTCACCTGAAATTTACCTGCAATACTTGTCCGCGAAAGACAGGAATCAACCCGTGAACAGATATGGTGTAATGCTTGCGTTAAATGAATTAGTTTTGTGCTTATTATAAGACATATTTACAGACAGCTGTTGGACATTGAATCAATAGATTTCTGATTTTATGTTCAGGGTTCATCAGATCACTCTTATAGAATTAACAAGTATTCACGCGGGCCGATCATGGAATAAAAAATATAAACACGTGTAGAGTATTGACACTGGCATTTATATTATGGGAGAAAATGAATCAATCATTGATATGGTTCTAGTATTCTACATTTTTGAGGCATCGACTGTATTTAGGTCAATGTGTAATCCGTCTGCCTTAATATGTCTGATAGACTATTTACTGTATAACAATTCATGTAAATTTAGAGAGATCTGCTTTGAGTATAGTAGCATATGTCAAGAATATGGCAGGAATGGGAATGTGATTGACCAATTGAGAGTTTGATCTTGAAATCTGATCGATCTACTGAAATTAGAATGTTTCCAGAATGGTCTAGTAATTGTCCAGTCTGTTTATGAACAGAACGCTCTCATAAAATTACCATTTGAGAGCTTATTATAGCCGAAAAATAGTTAATTACTAATAGTTGTTACTGGTGTTCTGGTTAATATGCAATAAGCAAAGGAAGACAGTTTGACCAAAATATAATTGTTACAAACCAAGAAATTTGAGCATAATCTAAACTTTCCTAACATCAGACATTTTAAGAGAAATGCTATAAACTTTACTTACTTAATTATGTATGTCTTAATAACTTAGTGTCTATCTATTCAGGTATACTCACAGTTTGTACTGACAGATTGGTCCCAATGAGGTTTTGTTACAACGTATTCTGCTGAGTTACTACAGGTCCTGGCCGTGTCAAATAAGATGGCGTATTTCTTATGAGACAGGAAATTTCTGAAGCTTTAATGTTGCCTGGGAAGGTTGGTCAAGTTTTGTATATATGATATCCTGTTGTATTTTAGAAATAATTGAAGGCTTGACATAAACCCGTATATTTTACCTGGATAAGATATTTACTGTGTATGTGAGATTGGTGATGTAATCTTTACATGGTCAGTCATGCGTAGTAAACAGTAAAAAGTAAAAATTGTTTACAAAACTTAATGATAACAACAATACTGAAACACACTGAAAGCATAGCAGTTTTCAAGTCATTGAACTAATTGATTACAAGCTCATTTGCTGCACTCGCAGTTATAGTCATCCACTCCATACATTCTCAATGATAATTGTTTTTGCTGTGACCGGGAAATGCACCAAATGTATCCAAGATTGGTTATGAATTGAATTGTAGTAAATAATTGAATATCATCCTGCATTTTAACTTAGGATCCATGTCCCACTGCACTGTGGTTGTTTGTTTATACAGTTACCTCCTTCATTTTTGACATATTGTATAATACGAAATGTTCGTGGGTACTCCTTCGTGGTTTGAAGCCATTTAGATAGTTTCGCGGTACAAACTTTCGTGGATATCCCATATGTGATTCAAATTCGTTGTATTTATTTTCGTGGTTTAATAACACCACGAAAACCACGAATATTTATACACAACGATAATTTCATGTTATACAGTAACTGTAGCAGAACTGTGCCAAACACTTCCATTTACCAGTTAGCCCCAGAGAGAGAGTGTGAAATAGTACGGCAATCTGAAGTCCGGTCTAACCCTGCTNTTATCTTCAATCATGGTCATGTCCTAATGGCATTTTGTTTTGTTTTTGAAGTCCATCAATTTCAGTTTTCATCGCCGTTATTCGAGGTTCCCTCAATCACAATAATACTTGAAAAGTTTGACTCCCCTCTTCCTGATTTTTAGGTTGGTCCACAACACATTACCCCTCTGTATTCCTATTACCCCAAGTTGTTCTTTGTTTACATGAAGGGTTTTTATGTACGTCCCTGTTCCACTTATCAGTTCTATTGTATGTCTTGTCCTGTCAGTAACAACAATATTGCCCTTACTGTCATATACAACTATTCCTGGATCAAACCTTTCTGGTGAAATCGCCTCCTCTTGTTCTTTTATCCCTTCTCCTCGGTATTGGAACAAATGCTGAAGTGTTGGGTTGTACACAACCAGTTGCGACCTTTCAGGATTACTACTATCTCCACTGATCTGTGTAGTACTCGCTACAGCTATGTTACCTGTAACAGCACACTGTGTGATGGACCATACAGGCCCAAACCCTGACGCTTCTACAGTGGCTGTGTGTAACACCCGGCCGTCAGCAGTATACATCACCAACTTGCAGACCTTCACACCAGATTCACCCACAACAATCTGACCATCATTGATCACACACAGACTGAATGGCAAACCCTTTGTAGTGAACCTTGTAACTGGTGTAGATGATGTAGATAATTCGTGGATAGTTTTCTCTTCCGTGCAACAGAACCACATCCGACCTGTAGCGGGATCCAAACTGATCTGTTGAATGTCACTGTTGTGTTGTATCTTCTGTACGAGTTGTCCTTTGTTGTTGATGAGTTTTACTGTATTAGTGGCCCAGTCAGACAGCCATGCGCGGCCTTCATTTGTAGGACAGATTGATGTAATACTAAATGGATATAAGAACTTGGATATGACAGTTAAACTGTCACAGAGTTTGAACAGGATTTCTCTTTGCATCCCTTTTGATTCAAACAGTTTTGGTATCACAACAGGGCCTTGGTTTGAGCAACCACTAGTTGCTAATTCTGTCTTGAGGTGTTCAGGAGTCTTCCACTTCCCCATCGCCTGCTCCAAGTGACTTTGTCTGTCCTTGCCTGGAGTAAACTCTGTCATGTCTGTGTTTGTTGTCTGTGGGATATCGAAGTCCCTGTCCTTGATATCAACTACCGTGTCATACACCAGTACAGCATTACCTGTCTGAAGGGTCTGTTTACAATCGGATGACAGTTTCACTAAAGTGTCTAACCGGACCTCAAGGTTTACGATATGACCATGAAGGAGGTGTGTTTCCGCTCTCTCCATCTTGTCACATATTGCTAGGTTATCCTCCATGATTTTGTCTAGTTCCAGTCTGCATTCGTCTCTCTGTTTTTTAATGTTGTCCGAAATGTTTTTGTATTTAGGTTGACATGCAGAAAGTTCCTCCCTAGCTGATATTATTTGGTCGTTTAGTTTCGGAATTTTAATCTTCTCTGCCTCATTAACAAAGTCCTGAAGTGAATTTTGGTGCTGGTTTCTAATTTTAGAAATTTCGAGAAAGCTGTCTATGTGTGACTTGTGAGATGTAATGGAACAACTGGTACATATAAGGACGTTGCATGTTTGACATAGGAGGACAACGTCATTGTCTCTGTGGTCGGGACACCTGGAACTCCCTTTATTTCTAATGTGGTATTGTGCACGGAGAATAGATTGACCATCTTTGGTTGCCATGGTTTATGTAGTCATTTTTAGCATTTTGCATATACAGAAGTTATGCAATTCTTGTAAAGTCACTTTTGCCACAGTGGCAAATAACATGACATTACGAGGTTTAAGTTTATGTACAAGATTCCCGTTTAGGATTTCCAACATGGGACTGTTTGATAGTACCTGTAAGGAAATTGAAGAGCAGAGAAGGTAAAATATGATATCTTTTATAGATCTTATAAAGATCCTTTCGAGGCGGGCGCCAATATCTTTCTAGGAGCTCTTGTTGGCTCCTAGCACCATCAACGAGTCTTAGAAGAAAGAAACAGATGTATGGTGCAATTAATGTTATTAATTTTTTGGCATACTTTATGAAATTTTATAGGTGCCACCAGAGACGTTATACGTCTCTGGTGCTACACATGTGTGGGTGTAACGTCCATCTTTCAAGATACTAGATGGTAGACTCTGGTGGTAGATTTCTTTGTTCCCGGGCTCGAGTTTGCCGTAACCTTGATAGCATTCATGACACATATACGCCAACAAAATATGCAGCAATTCCATACACATGTAGAACACGCTATCCCCCCTTGTTCATAGATTATGTAGACCACGGCTATCCCATCGACTCGTATGTCTATATGCGTAGAAAAAACCGGCTTCGTATTTTGCAACTGCATCTTCGAAATCTTCTGCTTCGGGTTGAGATACCCCTTTCTCATCACCATGGTGTAGTAGATATGTAATTGTTATTGTTAGTCGATAAAATGTTAAACGCGGAAATAGATGTTTCCCAACGGGTAATGGTTGGTTATCATGTTTATCTAACTCGAGTCAGTTAATTTTCAAATTGTATAAAGATACGAGGTTTACCGAGTCTATGTCTTTTACGTTTGTTAATTAACTAACGAGAGTTAGATGATAAACATGATAATCAACCATCACGAGTTTGGGTGCCGTTTTATCCCGCAACGTTCATATATATTAAATCCGGAAAATCATCTGTTTCTCCTGGTATTGCATTAATTATTCCTGTTTGCGATCCGGGAAGCGATTGCCATGAAGGATGACTTCGCAAATCATTGTTACTTGACGCCATATTTAGAAGGTTGACCAATGAAATAACGTTCTATGATGTTACCCAAAAGTGCACGTGGGTAACCCAAAATGTTTACTACCTCTTTGGTTTATCCAACTTTTTGGTGAGGAAAACCTATAGTGGCTGGGGGAAACCTAATCCGGTCTACATATATTTGTAGTATACTCATAATCTGTAGTAGTAGTAGTAGTAGTAGTAGTAGTAACCCCCTCCTCTTGTAGGAGAACCAGCTTGTGAGGCTGTATGTTGATTCTGAAGCCAGATACACTATATTTGACTGGCGGTTTGAAGCTGCATAGCTGAAGTGGGAGACATATATTTACCCTATATACGTCTGTATTGCAATATTTGCTGAGTAGTATATGGGAAAGTAAAGCTTAATCAATGATCTTTGTAGACTAAGTTTGGGTGAACTATAATGTGAGGAGAAAGAGAGAGATAGTTTAAACAACCTATATCTCAGTTATTATGTACTGGGTTAATTAGAACTAACTACCAGTGAATGTACCTATGTGCGTCGGATGAGTGAAGATATGTATATACAGGAATAGCCATTATTATTACTTGTATAGAGTCTAGAGTCTCTGTATGAATCCATTAACTGCTTCCATGCAGTCAGCATTACCGAATCAAGTTTAATGACCAAAGAATAACAACAAATGATAAGATGAGTCGACACACAGCATTTAGGTAACTGTCCAATGAGAACTTCTATAAATAATTTGAAAAAAGCTAATACTCCTCCTCTTTTGTTTCATTTATAGTATAAAAATCTATCATCAACTGACATATTATATCCTGTTTCTACAGAAATCAACTACCAAAAAATCAAGTTTCATTACAAAAATTTGTTGTTATTTCAATTTCTGAGAAAAAACATGTACATCAATATATAATACAAAATTATAGATATTTACCTCAGATTGGATTTGCAGTGTTGTCTCATTAATTTAATGGTAACATGAAAGATGAACACAAACAGGTGAATTCACCTTTAAAACTTTGTAATAGATCATTATATAGGACTAAGTTGTGCCAAAAAATGAATCACAGCGTCATACAGCCGTTTCCTCCTTGTACGACTTATTTGTACGAGTGGGGGCTGTCCAATAGGGGGAGAATACCTGTCAAATGCCGAATGTAAAATGCTATTCGTCAAATGCGATATGCCTAATGCAAACAGCTGAAATCCTCACTTTATAAGAGGGGAGAGCATGGCTATTGGAGTCCAGGAAAATTAAGGGACGGGAAGGGTAGAACAAAGCTACGGTATTTGAGCCACTTTTAATTCTCCTTTTTTTTAATAAAACACACCAGAAAATAATTCATTGCTCTCTCAGCAACATATATATATCTCAGCTATTTTAAGCAGGTGGTAGAATTTGACCTTTAAAGTTTGGCGGTAGAATTTGGCATTAAACATTTTGCAATTGGCATTTGACAATATAAGCATTTCGCATTCTACATTTGACATTGTATACTGGCCTTCCATATGTAAGGAAAGTCAGTTTTTACACCTACTGATAGAAAACAGACTGAAGTCGGGAGCACTTATTTCACAGATTTTACTTCATATAAATGATCTTCTGATTGAATGCATATGTTGAATAATGTAACAATAAAAAAAAATAGTATGGAGATTCATTGTGTTCCACAGGATCGTAACTGCAAGCAAATTGAAGAATCAGAGCAAATTCAAAATATTTTCTTGCAAAATATTTCAACATATAATTGGGTGTTGTTTGAAAAAAAAAGGGAAAACAATAAAAAGATATTGCATCCTTCCATTGATTGCTTTGTAACAGTCCAGTTCTGGGAATGAATCCTGGTCTGGCCATACATATTTATTTCCTCTACTGTTTAAGCTCTGTCATGATATTGCATGTACAAGTGTGATTCTCCATAAAAAAAATAGGTATGCTTTAGAATATGTCAAAATGTATACATGTAGCTATGTTGTTTTGTCTGAATTGTCAATGTTTAGTTACTCAGTCACTGTAATACTTGAGGAGTTTGAGTCCAGCCTCTCCTGTATCTAACTCTAAGCGTGACCACAACACATCATCCTTCTGTATACCTATTGGTCCCTGTCCTTCTTTGTTTGTGTGAAACGTTTTTATGTACTTTCCTACACCATTTATCAGTTCTTTTGTGTTCCTTTCTATGTCAGCAATAATAAAATTACCCTTACTGTCATATACAACCTTGAATGGAGAAAAATTGCCTGGGGTGACTGCCTGCTGTGCCGGTATATATATCCCCTCTTCCCTGTAGTGGAACAGAGGCTGAAATATTGGGTTGTACACAATGATATGACGCCTGTAGCTGTCTGGATCACCAGTCTTCACCAATCTGTTGACTACTCACTACAGCTATGTTACCTGTAACACCACACTGTGTGATGGACTGTACTGCCCCCATTCCTTCTGCCTCTACAGTGGCTGTGTGTAACTGTAACACCTGACCGTTTTCTACAGTTTCCCCATGGCCTGCTCAAAGTAGCTCTGTCTGTCCTTGACTGGAATAAACTCTGTCATGTCTATGTTAGGTGTCTGTGTTTACACTCTGATGAGAGTTTCACTAAAGTGTCTAATCTGTCCTCCTGGTTTCTGATGTGAATCTGAAGAAGGTCTGCGACTGACCTCTCCATCCTGCCACATGTTGCTATATAATATTAATCCTCCATTATTTTATCTAACTCTCGTCAGTGAGACGAAACCTGCATGGGTGGATCTCTCGATAAACCTGTCAATCAACCAACCAACCAATATTTAATTCCATTTTACATTTGTCTCTTTGTTTTTCAATATTTTCAGAAGTGCTTTTGTATTGGGATTTATTGGTAGAAAGTTCTTTCCTTGAAAATGTGATTTCTTTGTTAATTTTTTGTATTTTAATCTTGTCTGTCTCATGAACAAAGTTCTGAAGTTTATTTTTTGTTGTTGTTTAGTTTTAGATATTTCAAGAAAACCATCTATGTGTGCTTTGTGAGAAGTGGTTGAACAAATGGTACATATCAGAGTGTCACACGTCTGATCAAGGAGAACCACTTCCTTGTCCCTGTGACCCGGACACCTGGAACTCCCCTCGATTCTGACAGGGTTTCGTCCATGGAGAATTGAGAGTCCGTCTTTGTTAGCCATGGCCCTAGATGTGTAGCAACCATGTAGGTGTAAGGGAGGTAACTGGTGAAGGACTCGCATATCTTCTCTTCTATATCTGTATAATAAGTAAAACAAGAAATTGACAGTGGCTTTAATTTCAAATATTTACTATTAAAACCATTCAAATATAGTAGTATATCAAAGAATAATTTGCTTCAATAAAAAATTCATCTCTGAAAGCAGAGAAGACTTTGCAAGTAAGTCATAATTTTCTTGCAATAAAAGTTAATATTTAAAATATCATCTTTCAATATGGTCAGGGTCTGCATGAGTTTATTTCCCCTTACGGTGGATCAAATTAAAGGAGACATTGAACATGAGCCAAAAGTACTCATCTAAATGTCATTTTTGCTTTTAACAGAACTTTTCAAAACCAATTTTTGAACGTAATAATGGCAGATTTTTAACTGATGTAGTCATATGTTCTTGTGTTTTCCTGTAAAATATTAGCAAAAAATTAAAAATAACCTAAGGATAAAAAAAGAAATAATCAGTTTATATAATTACCATATTCACTTAAATTAGCACCCAAGGTGCTTAAAAAATTGGAAGAAATGTGGAGTCCAATAAAATTACAAAACAAATATATGTCAAGAGCAGGTTTTACGGTGTGTATAGATGACATAAATGTCAAACATGTTTACTCTTTAAATTCCATAAAATGACTTCTGTCCGTATACCAATAAGTAAGTAAAGATTAAATTTCATATATGAGGGGTGAGCCAAAATAAAGGGTGTGGCTGAGGTTGAGGGGGCATAATTCTATAATTTCAATATGTGCAGAAAAAGAGGGAGGGGCACTTAAAGGGCCTACATGTAGCTAGGAGGAGGGGAGCTTATTATGGTGTTACGAAAATATTGGTCAATCAATGCAAATCAAGTGGGATACAAATGAGTTTTTCAGTAAGCTATATAAGTTACAAAGTTATCACTCCTGTGTATGGTCCTTCCATTTTGTCCAATATAATTTCTTTTTTTTCCTTTAAATATATTTTATGAGATCTTCCTATCTTAATTTCAGATTTCAATTAATTGATCAAAATTCCTTACCTTTTTTCAGGTTACTAAATGTCTTATGAACATTTTTGTTAGCGAGACACTTTAGTGATATTGGTTCCTGGGCCTGCTTCGGGGGACAACATAGTGAAGGACAGTCCAGGGCTCACAAATAATTTGCCAACAGTATTTACTGAATCATATATACCTGAAAGTAAATTGAAAGTTGACAATTGGTTATTAGAAGAATTGATTCATGATCCCTTTTTTAGAGTTCTTTTGGTTGTTGATACAATTAAATGTTTACAAAGTAATGTATATATAACACTACATGTAGTTCATGAAACAGTGCAGAATTTTCTTTCTTAATTTAACAGAAATTGTACCCCTGTGCATTTCCATCCAGGCCAGCAAGAATGATTAATAAAAGCTGGAATGATGTGTTCCATATATTAATATTTGTAAAATGAATAAATTTTATATTAAAATCTCCAATTAAATTCCTGAAATGACAATACATTGTCTACAAACTCAACTGATTTGTGTACTAAATCAGTAAATGCTCTTGGACTGCTGATATAATAACTATTGCATTCATATATCTATCCATTGATAATATCCCTCCAAGTACTACATATTGAAGTATATCAATTAAGGTTCATACGTCATTTTCCCAAAATTTTGGATTCGTTGTTGATTTACTTTTTTTCAAAAACTTGTCTTACATCCAATGTTTATAAAGTTATATATATACTGTTAGAGAGGTATCCAATGTTCTTGTTGAGATATCACTTTTCATTCTAGCATGAAAAATATACTTTGACATCATTCCAATTAAGACACAATGCTAAAATTTTGTCGTAAAAATTGGTTTTGTCAAATAACGCATCATGGTCAGAAATCTTTCAAACGGATAATCATATTAATACAATTGTATTACCAAGAAAAGCGATAGATAATTTTCTTTGAGCAGAATTACACCAATATTGTTTTTTCTTTGAGCAGAATTAAACCAATATTGTTTTTTCTTTGAGCAGAATTAAACCAATATTGTTTTTACTAAAAACAAAGCCAGGAAATTTAATTTCCCAAAATTAAATTAACATAGGATTCAATTGAAAAATTATGTTACGTGAAAGCGTCACTGTATATTTATATGCAGGAGTCTGTTGTACTTTGAGGTGTATATCTTAACTGAAAAATAAACACAAGCTAGCAGTACGTATGTATAGGCTTCATGACTTCAGGTGACCACTTACAATGTAGCTCAGTTAGTAAGAAGCCTAAGGTCTATCTAGATTTTGGAGGTCCATGTTCTAATTCCATTCTAGCCCAAACATCTTTACATACTGTTACATGTATTCATATTTGATAAAATCTGTGACACATATAATCATATTCAACCCATACAATTGTATATATATATATATATATATATTCTGCATTGTGAATTTTATTTCTGTAATAAATTTATTTAATAAAATATACTTATTCTACATAAAATGTACTTTCTTGTTATACCAAGGTATATTAATGAAACAAATGGAATGGAATTCCTAAAGACAGCTCTACACATTTATAATTATAGAATTACAATCAATATAAATATATATACACACACAAAAAGCAAAGCCTAAATTATGTGTTAAACATTTGTCTTGGTCACACATTATAACCGATATACATCAAGTTTTATGCAGAACCAATGTACCTCAGCAGTATTGTATATCTCACATGAACATGCTTCATTTATTAAAATTAATATCTGAAATATTAAGACAATTAAGGTCATTTTCTGGCACATCAATCAACTCCAATTCCATTCAAAATGTGCCTACATCGGCTTGAATATATTGTAACTTAAATTAATGTCTCATTTTAATTGGAATAGTTTTAGACCATTAATTTACATTGTAATCGACTCAATAAAATATTCTGATGGACACTTTTTATAATACTCTGCATTTGTAGGTCAATGCCTACACTACATCTACATTATCTATGACTGTTGGGAGATTTAAGAGGCAAATTCAGGATTCTGAAAGGTCAGTTTGCTGTTTAGACTATGTAATACAAAAAAGCTGCATTTTTTATCCAGTTGCAGTTTCCTATCATGTTACAACATATAAAGTGATATTCAAATGGATTTTATTTCCAGACTGATTTGAAAATTAACAAATTTTGATTTCGCAGCTGTAGGGTCACAGTTTTTCCCCTTGAATAATCTCGAGTTGAAGCTGTGATTCTTTTAGTTCTGCTTCTACTTGATAATGACCAACTTCAACAGGTTGAAGATGATGTGGTGTGTTGTGGCATGAAATAAAAGGGCACAAATTTATTATTGAAAGAAAGAGATTGCTGATTTGAAGGTGGATAAATTATCTGTTAATTTCATCGTTGAGGGGAGTAGTTTATTCCAATCATTGTACAGGGAAAGATTGATTATTTCCTCACGGATCATCTCTACATAGAGATAGTTAGGCAAATATTTTTATGTGAATACTTAAACAGAATTCTTTCAAGACTTCTACCTTCAACCTCTACTGACCTACTTCATCTAGTTGAAGATAATTATGTCTAAAATTCTTTAATAGGCCTATTGAGAGAGGAGGGCAGTTTTAAAGGAGTCAGATGTGAACAAGAACAAGTACACTCTACAACTCAAATGGCTTAATTCACATGACAAGGATTTGTTAGTGTTACCAAAGATAACTTAAGTTTTTAAAGAATAAGCAGAGACACTGTCGGCCTAGTCAGTTTCATCAATGTTTTCTGCAGCCTTCCAAACCGGAACTGGAAATAGCCAAATGATGAAAAATTGCGCAAGCGTACTTGCCCTATCCTCGCCTATTATTTACAAATGGCGGTCAAGTGAGACACTTTCACGTCACTAACACTTTCACTTTCGCGAAAAGGAGGATGAAGAGCAGTAAATAAGGATAAAAGTCACACAAGCGATGTCAGTTCTTCAGGTAAGTTATTCTCATTCCTCTCATAAATAATTTTGGTGCATAATTTTACTTTTATTAAAGAAAATAGAAAACCGGTGCTCAAAATGCAAGTTGAAACTTGTTGCTACGGTGCAGACAAGGATATCATAGACGCTCCTTGAGCCCATTATAGGTTTATCGGGCACTGGATAGGCCTATTTAGATCTCGCTTGATTTGACTGTTTGTCCAACGAATAGTGGTGTGAAAACAAAATTGAATTAATAACATAATTTATTTACTTTAAATAATTTGGTTTTATATTCAATCATTCAAATGAAAAAAAATAGAGCGGATTTTCTATGCTTAATTTAATTTGTTTTCTTAAAATTATATCTGGTTCGTTTGCGTTATTGCATATTCTTTAATGAAAAAATAACGTGTCTGCCATAATGGCATTTCCCTAATACAAATAATTTACTAAACAGTAAATGGTGTGTTATAATAATTCAAAGAACTATTTCAATTCAAACTTTCAATAAGTTTCATAAGAATTTAATAAAAGAAGCGAACAAAAGAGAAAGTAAGGAAGGTAAAAAACAAAAAATATTTAAATTAAAATAGTATTTTACCTAGAAAAGCTTATAATTACCTTCTTGTATACTTCATGAGATAGATACTAGTACTTTCCATTAGTAATAAAACAGTTATTTTAGTGAAATATGTATACAGTACAGCATACTAAAAAATCAATGATTAATGGGGAAATAGAAATTTAACTTTTATGTATAGTGCATTTCTTGCAAGTCTAGTTCTGGTGAAGGTTTTTTGTCAACATTAACTACAATTTTTGCAGGCTAACACATATCTATATCTACAGTAAATTCCTCAATTAGTTCTGCTTGTTGACTTATGTATAGAATTTTCTCCATTTAGGTGTCAATGTGTGAAATCAAGTAGTGGTTAATGATTGTTATCCACTGATGAGTGTCATGCCTCAGGAGACAAGCCTCTTAATTATAAGCTTTTCTAATCCCCCTGTCGGAGTGGTGACCATCTTGTACCTGCTGATTTATTTTTGACCGTTTGACCAGTGAAGACTATAAGTTTATACATGTCTTTTAGACTAACCTGCTGCTTTAACAGTCATTGACAGCTAGGTGATACAAAACTTAATGGACATTTTCTTATAATCAGAAAAAATGTGATGTACACACACAGCAAAAGGAAATACACCAAAATGGGAAGACGTAAGGTAAAAATGTCACCGTTGAAAAAAAAACCCAATGCATGCACTTCTTACTGTGAAGACTGATCCTAAGAACACTTTTATCAGCACAATGTATTAACACTGTTCATATCCAGTTGTTGAAAATTAATATTTATGTCTGTTTACCCAGGTTATTATCTACCTACATATACATGTACTTGTTTGAATTACTTATATTGAATCCAATACACATTCCTAAGATATTACATTAAATGTTAAAAATGTGTTTTTTCTTTTTTTTCCATTTTCAACGTTAATTATTATTTGATCAACTTGGTTTTTGACATTGCAATTTGCATGTTCCTTAATGATTCTCCTTCGTTGAGGAAAAGTGTGTTAGAATTTGTTTGATGTTTGGATGTAACAGTTTTGTAAAAGAGCTGAATTAATTGATTTTGTTATCATGATTTTTTTTTAGTAAAAATTATTCAAACATTTTTTTTTTAAAGATTTTCATTGTTATTTGACATGTTTTTATGCAAATTTTGTTTAGTGTTTATCATTATTAATAGTACTGTTTGATTTTTAATTAACACAGTTACTTCCACCCTGTACATTACAACATTTGTATGTTTGGTGTTTGTAAATGTCACATTATATATTTTGATCAGTCACCTTTCCATGTTATCAAGAATCTTTTAAAAGAATTGAAATCTTCTTAAATCCTACAGTTATTACATTTAGGTATTTGGATGTTTTAGTGATTCTTAGCACTTTTTTGCTTTCTTGAAACATAGTTTTATAGTAGTATTTAGTAATATTCCGTAAAAAAATATGAACATGATTTTTAAAGCTTTTTTCCATGATTTTATTTGCTTAGGATTTCACTTATGAACATTTTTATTTATATGTTATTATAACAGGTTTCTTTCATCTCAACACATTTGGATTGCATTGATATGTTAACATGTGTTTTATTGTACAATTAATTGTACATGTCCTGTGTTATACATGTATGATATTGTACAAGTGGACGTTCATTTGATTGATGAACTTTGTTTTTAACCAATGCCACCTTCCCTACAAGGTACCTTATAGCCTGAATATCTTCTGGCTCCTTCACCAGACTTAACACATTCTGACAGGTATAGATGTCTGGTCACTTATTGCCTGAGCTTCCTCTGGCTCCAACACCAAACTTGAGTCAATATGACAGATAGATTTTTGGTCAGAATGTCTTTAAGTCTGCTGTTGACTTGACATCTATCTGTCAGAATGTCTCAAGTCTGCTGTTGACTTGACATCTATCTGTCAGAATGTCTCAAGCCTGCTGTTGGAGCCAGGGGAAACTGGGGCTGGGTACCTTATAACAATGATTAAAACCATTCTTTATAAAAACAATTCTTGACCAAATCTGAGCAAACAAAAAAAACCTCCAAATTGTCCACTGGTACATTATACAAGTTTACTATTTTCATGATATTGAATCTCAATCTCATAAAAAAACAGATCTTTAATTCCACCTGATACTCTACATTCCATGGAACATAGAGTAATGGAGTGGAGTTAAAGATGTGCATGGTTTAAATCAGAGTGGATATTATCTAAATGTAATGGAATTCAACTGTCATGACACAAAATGTTATTGAAATTGTAGGTGTATTTGAGTTGGGCCAATAGCATCCTTCGTGATGCTGGCCAGGAAATGCGAGATATTGGGGAAATACAACAAGGGGAAGTTTTGTGTCAGCTGATTGATAATCTGGACAGTACTGCTGGACTTGTCCGCCAACAACAGGTGAGTAATCGTACTAGTTTTAATAAAGATTTGAGGAATTTTACAGTCCATTTTGGTAATTTTCCTGAAAGTATGACATGACAGGAATTAGTGAAATATCTATTAGACTTGGTAGAAAATGAATACAATTTAAACCATGTTGGATAATAATATAAAATTCTCACTGGTGCTGATGTAAAACAAATTGTATATATGATATGTATAAGTGTCTTTAGCACCTGTCACAATAATGGAAAGACAATTCCATGTATTGTAATACGTACAAGTACATGTTTCACTGGTGCAAGTATTTGTATGAAAATTTATACAGTGGGTGGGGTTATAAAAGGGATGGAGTTGGGGAAGGGGTTTGCAAGAAGAGCTACATAATGTAGGTTAACAAGAAAAAGTATTAAAATCAGTTGTGGCTACACATCTTTTATGGCAAATGTATGGTGATCTGATAAATACAGGGAATTTCCCATTTGAATGCTACGACATGTCAGTTTTCAAATTGATTGGAATTGAAAGGCTAAGCAGACTCGGGATGTGCTATGTCAATAATTTGCTGTGCAATGGATCTCAGAAAACCCCAGACAGAGTCCCAGGGAATCAGTATGTTCCACACAATTAAAGGCCCATGTCATTATGTCTCTAAATGAAGGCGTTTTTTTTTGTACACTGCTGTATAAAGTAATTCAGAGGGCTGAGGCACAGTGTACAAGCAACATGCATACAACTTCAGAAAATGATTGTAGTTGCAATTAAACTAATGGATCTATTATATATTCTGATTCACTGATTTGCTCCACTCAATGTTGGTTGCTAAAACTAATGATTTTCTGTGTATGCATCAATCCTTAGTCCGGGCACGTAGGATTGTACAGTTATATATATATACGGTATATGTATGAATGTACAGTTTCAGATGCAATGATTGAAAATTGCAGACTCTGTGGTCTTCGATAGTGCTTCATTGCTCATCAGTTAGAATTATTGATTCGTGTGTGGTACACACGTACACACTACTACAATAACCCCTAGGCCTGGCTGGGAGCACACAAGTCATCATTTATTCATCAATGTAAATTCAAATATTCACTTTCCAAAGCTTTGTCAGAAAGTCAACATGCTAAAAGTCTGGTCAACATACATACAATGGAGGTGCTTCAGAATTGCATTTCTCAGCAAAAAAAAAAAAGATGAAATGTCCTGCTTCATTATAAGAAGGAGTTCGTAATTGGTTTAGTCTGGTGTGGGTTCCTAGATCCATTTCGTTTCTTAAATGGGACCTCTTCTGTGACGCAGGACAATTTAATTTCACACAAACAAACAAAACTTAACAAATAACAACAAGGATTTAATGAATGAAGAAGTAGAATCTGTTTTTTCTGCATGGATTTAGAAAAAAAACTTGTTTTCAAGTCTTCTTATTATTGTTGATAAAAAAAAATTACATCCTGTATTTTGAAACTGTAGTAAAACCTATATTCTGGTTTGGTTTAAACAGATTTCCAGATGAAACAGTGTTTAATTTAGACATGTTCTTCTTTGAAAAATGTCAAATATATATATATAAAAAAAAAAAGATGAAAAAAAAGAGAAGAAAAATATTTTGAAAAGTCGTGTGAAGCTAGCCATACTTTTGTCGATGAGGCATTGTAGATTAAAGGTTGGAAGTGTGATCAGTATGTCACTTTACCAATATAGCATACCATTCCAACCACGACCAGGTATTCATTGCCGGCAGGTAGAGTTTTGTACTTGTAGTGATTAATATTGCATTAGGCGTAATATCGGAACTCGGATATTTGTGACAGATCCAAAACCTGACCATTCAAAAAAATTGTTAGCTTAATTTTTGAAATGCAACTTTTATTTTTTAACATGTCTTGTTTTTGATATATTTTCAAAAGATTTTTTTGTCTTTTTAAAATTGTTTGCATTCATACACATCTATTGTAAAGGTCTTATAGTGATAAATTTTAATATTTTACGAAAAAACACACCATTTTGAATCATTATATTACCCATCATTAAGCTAACAGTTATCAAGATTTTACCACTTGGCCTAAAAGTACTGCCAACAAAACGTTTCTGCTGATCAGCAAATTTGAATTGAATTTGTAAAGCATTGAAAACAAATTCATTTCACTGATAAGTAATTTATTGAAATTGAAAATAAAAAGACATAATTATGTACCAGGTACAAATGATTATATTTGCTGTATAGTGATATTGTAATTTAGAGATTAGGCTAGGGGAAAGTCTTTTGATCAAATGCATTCATGTTACATTTCATTAAGATAAATAATTACCTATCCATCATTATCAAAAGTAGGAGTTATTACAGATTTCAAGTTTGTGAGCTGTATACATTCATTTAGATCCAGTACTACAATATGGCCAAAAATATGTCAATGCTCCATACTCAAATAAGGAAGTGATTCCCTTTCAACATATTGTTGTTGAAATAATGGGAAATATATTACTCTTGCATATGATTCAGAATCATGTTGGTTGAGATTCTATAGGTAAATTGAGTATTAGGTAAAAAGAGCTTAATTGAAATTTTGCCACTGATATTTTCCTGTAAGAACAAAACATTTGTGATTTTCATTTTGAAATATTACGGGTTTTTTTCAGTTGAAAGGTTGCGATGAACCGGGAGAATACATCCAAGCGGCCATTAATCATATGCGTGAAAATGGAATTAAGGTTTCCTTCGGCACTCAAGGTAAGTTGACAATATTCAAGAAATTTTCTAAGTGAGAAGATGTTCAATTGAACAGAATTACACCCAGAAGTTAGTTGAAGTTTTTGTAGAAGGGCATCATTCTTCATCATCAGGGTATGGTTGTTCATGATTAGCAAAGTGACACTCTGGTTATACTTATTAAGCGCAATCAAATTTTAAGTCAAATCAAATTTTGACAGAGTTGCATGTTAATGAATACTAAAATAATATTGCCACTTAGATATATGCTTATACAGTGTTCCTCTACAAATCAACATATCAAAATGTTCGTAAACAACTTGTTGAACTTTAAATCAGACTGAAACCAACCAGGCCCAAATTTAATTCATTCACCCCTGACATTTCATACTGCACTATTCCAACCTTTGATTTGGAAGAGTTCTAATGTGTCTGTCCTTTCGGATAATTTATGAAACTTCATATAAAGTATAGTATAAATCAGATATTTAAAATAACGAATATTGCAATTCCATTTTACAATTTCGATGTTTGAATATTCCCAATTTCTATAGTTTTTCAGGTGATTTTCCCCATGGTCTGTTTTCCTATAAATACCTGCCTGCATAAATCCCCATATCCAATTTTATACAGTACGTAGTAATTACATTTGGATGGAATTGATGAAGTTTGTTTTGAATAGCAAAGTATGATGGATCAGAGGTTATGTTTAACTTAAAGTACATGAAGGAAGTGTTGGTCATTATATTGAAACACAATACAAAATTGAAATGATTGGATGTAGTTGACATTTCAATAAAGGTGTTCTATCACTCTCTGTCTAAGTCTAACAAGCTATAACTGGATTGGACAGCTATGTCTTATATATTTACCTGTATAAGGTGCCAAAACTCGTTAACTTGGTCAGGTAAATCATCTGGGATCTCCATAGGTCTTCATGGTTAAGCTTTTTCGCAATCAAAGTATGATCGCGGTTCTTTGCCCCCTGCAAACATTGTTCGTGTTTGAAAATCTATTCTTATGGATTTATAAGACAGGTAATACACACGGTTATGAAGAAAACCAGGAAATCCCTTCTCAAGCCTCCAACATCAATTTAATTGATAAAATAAGCAATAAAAGCGCGTTCTGGTAGGCGGAAGGATCCATGTGGTAAAAATGCATAAAAGTATGATTACATAAATAAAATAATATTTTCGCTGTTGCTTTCTATAAGAACAATTAGTTATTTACCTTTGTAGATAAAAAAATATATCATTTATTGCAAGTTTAAACAGGAAGAATTTATCAGCAAGCTCTGGGATCCAGAAGTCTGAAATTTAGAAAAATAGAAAGTTTTGTTTATGCTTGTAATAAATTTATGCAATCAGAATTCGGGAATATATACCTCACCATTGTTTTTTAAAGGTCTTTAACTAATTCCTTAATATAATCAACCTTTATTGGATATTGTGTTAGTCCTGGCATGTTCTACTTTTCACCAAATCAAAGTCCTGATTAGCTTCCTGTCCAGTTTTTAAGAATTTTTCATGCATCTAATTTTCCCAAAAATAATAAGTTCATCATATAAATAACATGCTAGTCTATTCTATATGATTAATGAAGACAAGAAGTGTAACTGTTTTTATATATTTAAAAAAAGCTTTTTAAGATACGATTTTGAAACTATCAGTTATAGGTTGGTTAAGCTAACAATGCTTTGAACTTTTTCGCTGGTAAGGTAGAGTGTGGCGGGACGCCTAGGTATGTCGCCAATACTATATACCTGCTGTAAGATTTCTTTCTGGTAAGGATTAAATACAAACGCTTTAACACAAAAGGCGTTTGACTGTACTGGTGCAGTTTTTTAAAGGAGATAAGTCACATTCTGTAGATTTATAAATTAGACTTGGCATGTTTCAGTACTTGCAGACAGCTCTACTGGTACTACAAGGGAGATTAGTGGTTATGTGTAGCTAGTATTTTATATATATTCTTACCGTCCCCGACCTTGCATGGTGCAGATACGATTTTTCATTGACATGGCTTAACATTTCCACTCTTCCTTGGTAAGCATTTTTGTTTTAATTTTTAATTATCTAATTTTAAAAGAACACTGCAAATCCTTTTTAAGAGGGGTATTGTATATGTATACAAGTGTATAAAAATTGACATTCAGGTACCCTAGGTGCTCAACTGGGAGGTTTGAAGTAGGTCAATTCAATTTGGTAGTCAAATTTTGCACAATGAAGTCATCAACATACTTTTAAACTCGGTTATAATGAGTTTTGCTTGTTATGTTTAACAATTAAATCTACAAGTTCATGTTTTAACATGACCCTATTTTGAGTATACAAATGTATTCCTTAAAAACCTTATCTCATTAGTTTAAAAGTAATTCTATTTCGGGTTTTCAATATGTGCACTATTTTAAGTGTGTATCCTATAGGCTATATAGGAATTATTATAATAATCAACTTTTTCTTGGATTTTGCAACACATTTTAACATTTTAATGCTCTACCAGGTAAATGTTTGAAATGAAATTGCATATAAATGGGTTTCAGAAATCGATATTGCATGTTTGTTGGATCTGCATGTCGCAAATCAAAATTATGAAGTTCTGAAATTTACTTTTGATGCACTGTTAGTGTTATGATAAAGTTGTTTATGTTTGGGTAAATAGAGTGTTACAGTTATATTACCTGTATTTTATTTTCAACTGATAAATGTAAGATTTAAAAACTATGGTCCAAGTGACATATTTCTAAAGAAATTTGTATTGCTGTCTTGTGTTCTGTTTAGACAGATTTTACTATAATCATGATTAACACAGGATGTTCAAGTTTTATACAATGTTCTGATACTATACTCCAGTCTACTTAGATGTATAAAAGGGTAGATGCATCTGCAGAAGTAAACTTTTGATTAGTGAAGAGATGGGTTTGTAATATGTGGCAAAGCGATTTTCTGTGAGAGAAAATCGGTTTTATATTGGATTATTTTGTTACATATAAGAAGGTAAAGTAACACAGTTATCTGATATACCCTAAAATCTTGATAATAAGCCTGATTTGAAAATAAAACAGTTTAGAAATAAGCTTATGGTTCCTTGCAGTCAAACATATCTTGAAAATAATCTGTTTTGGAATATAGGCCAGCCTTGAAATTTAAGAGATGTTTCTTGCAGGAATGATAGACTTACTGTAAGTTTTAGAGAATATTTTACCCACATTTCATACGTTCAGAAATTCTTTTTCATGTATGTATACCTGTACATATATACATATTAACTTTACCTGTGGGCCATAGGCCAACCTGCATTCCGGTGTTTTAGGCTTTAGACTTTCTGCGATATGTGGACCCATATATGTATCTGCTATAGACTTGCTGATTGTGTATATTTAAGGATTGGAGCTCTATCAAATTAAGTCATTGAAAATAAATTAGTTCTCTTGTTATCAGAGGTTTGATTATCTGTGACAAGTACATTGTTTGTGAATGTGTGCTATTGACCACAGTTTAAGGAAAGTTTGAGATTTCATTTTATTCAAGTTTATTGGTAAATATCTACAAAGTTTTGATAGGAAGAAATTATTTCATTGAAAGTTAATTGAAATTTTACTGCATGGTTAATTCAAAAATAATTTATTGGAAATTTTGTTTCAGTGGGTGGTAAATGTCTAGAAGGTTTTTGTTAAATCAAGTATATGTAGCACCAGTTTAATAGAGTTAGCGCTCTTTGAAATATTTAATTTAATAGTCTAGCTGTTTGTTATTTGTATATAATATTTGAAAATTGAATATATAAATATTTGAATATATATGGTTATCAAACCTAAATGTTATTGACTTTACAATAAAAGGTAACAATCTGGTGAAGCATTTTTAAAAGTATGCTAAGCTTAATGTTGTCTGAAACGTTAAAACAAACATAACAAATAACTTAATTTTAGACAATTTCAGAATATACTTTATCGAAATGCATTCATATGTTTTCTTTTTAAACAATTTTTCTTGCAGTTTGCTGTAGATTAATAAGATTTATAAAGATACAATTTTTGTTTCGTCCACTGTAAGATGACAAATCATTTTTGTTAGAATACTCGGTATACATATAGCGTTACGGTCACCAGGGCCTATCTCAAGGAAATAATTTCTTTATCTGGCATTTAAACATGTTGTATGGTCCAGGCTATCCGGCCATCAATGTAACCTGTTTAGATTGGTAAAATAAATGGACACACATACTCAAGATAATGCTTGCAATAGCTAATAATTCTAAAGTGTGTCAAGATTGTAAACATATCCCCTGATAAGCCCGGGCTACTAGCTATCATGATCCATAAAAGACCCTTATGGTTCTAGGTATGTACAGTGTAGTAAATTTATATGGTTCTTTAGCTATAGGGGTGATCTTAGTTTAATTTCATGTCTGTATCTTAAGTCGATAAGCACGGAAATGCCATTATCCATGTTTATAGTTCAAGTATAATAATTGTTCATTTACCAGTGATTTTGGGAAAGTAAAATTTGACCTGCAAACTCTGAATTTACTTATACAAATTATAAAAGATATATTATTTCATTCACTTCATGACAGCTTTTCTAAATTTTGTTTATTTAATTAAGAATTTGAAAAAAGAATTGATATTTCATTTGCTGAAATTTACTTGCATTTTCTAAATTTAGATATTTAAAACATAATTTTGATAATTTAGATACATTATTTGTTATTAGTTGAAGGTTATATAAAAACTTATACTGTATTAGGAAATTATATATTATATTCAGTAGCTTCAAGCTCTTGACTCAATATGTATTTATCATGGAAGAACATGACCAATATTTAAAGTATTTTAAACCAATCAATAAACCTTACCGGTATTTACATTTTCATTGTACACCTGAAAGTGGTGTTATGAAATGATAAAACACAGAGAACTTTATGCACAAATGTTTTCCCCTTGGAAACGGTTTCTGTTACACTGTTAGAGTAAATAGTAATAATATTAATAATTTGAGGTTCTTATATACCACTTT